CTGCTCTTGTTCATTGTATTGCCTTTGCTTATGTTGATAATTGGTTTATGTGAGACAGATATATTTGTTGTTTAAGGGTTTGCATTGGTCTCCTCTCTCAACTTTTTTGAAGCACTTAGATCGGTGGAGTCGTGAAATTATCGATCACATTAGTGAACTTGGTTACTTCACTAATTCATCGAAATTGTCGAGTTTTTTCGGCCAATCCATCAATTTAGTTGTCGAATGCATCATGTCAATGATTTAACATCTTTGTGTTGGATTAGACGCTCGTCTTTTTTTAAGCACTTAGATCTCTCGAATTGGTCCGCCCATTTGATTTAAATTTAGAACTCATGAGACAATTATGTAATTTCTTCGTTTAAACTCGGAGATTATCCTGATCATGAAAAAAGATTTGTAGTTATCCTAAAAGCAAAAAATCGTGAACAGATCAACGAACTAACTCTCCCGTAAGTCTTGGTAACAAAAACCGATAACATTAGGGCAACAAAGATGGCAAAACTTTCATTCCTTTCAATGGGGATGATGATCTTACACGAAGCAAACTTGTGGGTATTCACTCTTTCAGGTTGACAATCATCTTCATCCTGCAGGATCATCGACATTAGCGAAACAAAGATGGCAAAGCTTTCATTCCTTTCAATGGGGATGATCCTCTTCCTGTGTTGTTGCTCGGCCATCGCGGGAACGGCGCCAGCCCATCAAGGCTACTCGAAGTACAAGGACCCAAGTCAACCCATCAACGCGCGGATAAGAGACCTCATGCAAAGAATGACTCTCCAAGAAAAGATTGGCCAGATGACCCAGCTCGACCGCTCCGCCATCACCCCCGAAATCCTGAGGGACTACTCCATTGGCAGCGTGCTCAGTGGCGGAGGGAGCGTGCCGTTCCCCAATGCCAAGGCTCAAGACTGGATGGACATGGTGAATAGCTACCAAAACGGTTCTCTCTCTAGTCGTCTTGGGATCCCGATTGTCTACGGCATCGACGCGGTCCACGGGCACAATAACGTGTATCAAGCCACTATATTCCCTCACAATGTCGGTCTCGGGGCTACGAGGTAAGCATATTTGAGTATTCTATGCATATATCAATCGGCGTTTGTTGACATATGTGCTTTCTGCTTTACGTAACAGCCCATTATATTGAGGAGATATAAGTTACTGGGGAAGTTAGTATAGCTAAATCAAGTATTACTATCAAAACTACATCAGATCACATCATGTTACTAAGTGATTAGGGTGTTGATTGCAATGTTATCAACTTTGTTCCATCATCTAAGCAATATAGTTTAAGGAAAGATCGGTGGTTGTCTTTTCAGGGATCCCGATCTTGTGAAGAGGATCGGAGCTGCGACCGCACTCGAAGTCAGGGCAACGGGGATTAATTATGTGTTTGCTCCATGCATTGCCGTATGTATCGACTTAAATCTGATGATTTCAATAAACGTGCGGTTTCTGAGTGTTCTTAACACATTTGTGATTCTTTATTTCAATCTCGAAACGTGAATTAGGTATGCAGAGATCCGAGATGGGGCAGGTGTTATGAGAGCTACAGCGAGGATCCATCCATTGTTAAAGCCATGACATCGGTCATTCCCGGATTGCAAGGCGAAATTCCTACCGGCGGGCGAAAGGGAGTGCCTTATCTCGGCGGAAAGTAAGCTTCTGTTTTGATTGGACTAGTTTGAGCTGGTGATTAGTTCCTATTTGGCTTTGTTCCACGAAGAAAATGTTTGTCAATAGCCCTCTTGGTATCACAGTGACACCTTAAAGTTTTTGGATTACCAATGTGAAATGCTTGAATGTCTATTTTGAAATGCTGGGTACTGTCTTGAGAAACTCTCCTTTTATTTGATTAAGTTCATTATCTCATACTTTGGACAGTGACAAGGTTTTGGCCTGTGCAAAGCACTATGTGGGAGATGGTGGCACCACGAGGGGCATCAATGAGAACAACACAGTGATTGATTTGCATGGACTGTTGAGCATTCACATGCCCGGTTATTACAAAGCCATAATCGAGGGCGTCTCAACAATCATGGTCTCGTATTCGAGCTGGAACGGAGTGAAGATGCATGCTAACCGCTTTCTCGTCACGGACTTCCTCAAGAACACCTTGAAGTTCAAGGTACACTTAGGCCCCGTTTTGTTCGGCCTTGGAAATGGGCTTTCGGTCTCGAAAGCCCCTTCCCAAAATGCTGAACCGTTTGGTTCAGCATTCGGCCTAGCATTGGCCAAATGCTAGCATTGGCCAAATGCTAGCATTTGGAATGACGAACTTCCCAAAATGCTGAACCGTTTGGTTCAGCATTCGGCCTAGCATTGGCCAAATGCTAGCATTTGGAATGCCGAAAGCCCAAAGCTGGTCCGGACCAGCTTTGGGCTTTCGGCATTCCACAAATGTTGAACCCAAATTTTTTGTCTCCAAACTACCCTCACTTATTTTGGCTTATTCCGGTTTTGACCCTCTTGGTATTGTTCATCTTCTTCGTGAGGAGGATCGAGCCAGCGAGTGGCCGGCGAGGTCGCGCGACCCTCGCTGAGGGTCACCTGGCCTCAGGCGACGACCGCCAGCGGCAAATCTAGCTCTCCAGTGGTCGTCTGACCTCGGGCGACGGCCGTCGGCGCCAAATCTAGCTCGCCAGCGACCGTAGGCCTTCGCCGACTCCGGTGAAGGGTAGGATAGGTTTTTTTTTTTAATAAAAAAGATAATTCCCAAAGCTTTTTTGTAAAAAAAAATTGACCAAACACTACTTTGACCAAAATAGCTTTACAAATGATTTTTTACCAAACACCACTTGCATTTCTCCAAGGGACTTTAACCTAAAGGTATTTATATTCCCCCAAGTAGCATTTAAAAAGTTGAACCAAACAGGCATTTAATCTCTCCTTAGTCTTGCCATTTGTGATTGATACAGACTGGATTGAATTGAACCAACTGGTTCTAAATTCTTGTAGGGTTTTGTAATATCCGATTGGGCAGGAATCGATAAGATCACTAGCCCGGTCGGTGCAAATTACACATACTCTGTTCAGATGGGGATTGGAGCCGGGATCGACATGGTCAGTGGCTATGACTACTAACATTTTCATTTCATACAAAAGTATCCAATCGCCAAATTAATCTTAATTGACATGCACTTTTATTTTGTTTTCTTTCTACTCTTAGGTCATGGTTCCCCTCAATCATACGGTGTTCATCGATACCCTGACCCAATTGGTCAATACCAATGTGATCCCCATGAGTCGGATTGACGATGCCGTCGAGAGGATCTTGAGGGTGAAGTTCCTGATGGGCCTATTTGAGAATCCTCTGGCTGATCATACCTATCTTTCCCAGCTTGGAAGCCAGGTTAGACAAAGCAATAGCACATTACTTATCATAATGGACTATATATGAAGTGTACACAAGCCTTTGTTTCATTCCAATTTTTGTGTCATTGAAGGAGCATCGGGATTTAGCAAGGGAAGCAGTCAGAAAATCACTAGTTCTATTGAAGAACGGGCACAATGCTGATCCCCCGGTGTTGCCGCTCGTCAAGAATGCCCCTAAGATACTCGTCGCCGGGACTCATGCCAACAACTTGGGCTATCAATGTGGTGGTTGGACCATCACTTGGCAGGGTGGAAGTGGCAACAACCTCACCAGTGGTACAATCTCTCTCCTTTCTCTTTAGTATACTACATATGCAACAATCGAACCTACAATGCTGCGGTAAAGATGTGACGTTTTCACGTTTACATGTTTAATCGAAGTAGAGATTTTCTGATGAAGTTGATTTGCGATCTTGTGCACTTGACAATAGGGACCACCATCTTAGGCGCGATAAATAAGGCTGTAGATCTCGACACAGAGGTTGTCTTCAGCGAGAACCCCGATGCCGACTTCGTCCAATCGCACAACTTCTCGTACGCCATCGTTGTGGTCGGGGAGCTTCCCTACGCGGAGACGGCGGGAGACAGCACGAACCTGACGATGGCGGAGCCGGGTGAGGACGTCATCCACAACGTGTGCTCATCGGTGAAGTGCGTGGTGGTCGTGATTTCGGGAAGGCCGGTCAGGATGGAGCCGCTCGTGGCGCAAATGGACGCGCTGGTGGCCGCATGGCTGCCGGGGAGCCAGGGGGAAGGGGTGGCCGACGTCTTGTTCGGGGACTACGGATTCACTGGGAAGTTGCCGAGGACGTGGTTCAAGACCGTGGATCAGCTTCCCATGAACGTGGGCGACCCCCACTACGATCCACTCTACCCATTTGGTTTCGGTCTTACCACCGAGCCCACTGGAGGACAGTGAGGGAGACATTCAGCAGAATGTGACTTTTTCTTCTGGATTTTAGGGTTTTATCTTATTTTATGAACATTTAGTAGGAGGTTATTTTTTTGTGGGTATTCCATTTCCTAGCCCTTCGTAGTCATTTGGCCAAAGACGGTTTAAAAAACCCAGGATTTGGAACAATTCGAATAATCGTCCAAGCAGTAGTATCCTGGTTGTTTTCCATTTTGCATAATTGAAACTTACTAGTTATTTTCCTATTTGTCATATGAATCTGTTGTTTATAATTTCTCTTGGGGGCCTTACCTTTCACCTACAGAATCGCAGCATGCGAGAGTAGAGCATGATTCTTGTCGTGTGGCATAACATCAACAGATTGTGTACCAGCAATGCTACATGTCATAAATATCGAAGGATGTGAGGAAACTATCGGCAAGGACCACTGATGCCAAAGTTGAACTCTTAAATTATTGCTTGAAGGACGACACGATCGAGTTTTTAGCTTGTATCAGGTTTGTATATGAACGCATATCATGAATATGGCGAGCCTCATAAATGACAGAAATTTGATTAGTCAAATGACAAAAATACTAATTCTGTGAAAAAATGACTTATTAATCAACTATCGATGAACAATAGACTACGAAAGCCAAATGGTGTGAAAGCTCCAAGTTTCATATAATATAGCAAACCCAGCAAATAAGTTTTCTTTTTGAAGCAGTTACGGCAAATGTCATGTGTACAAAGACGCTAGCTCTACACCTCGACATTGATCCAAGTATAGCAGAAGATATGAGCATCCTACGTATCTAAAATACCAAGTTATGAATACTTTACAATGTCGACTTTGGCATCAGATTTTTTATACAGCATCCAACATCTCTTCACTTCCTGCAGATGTCAAGGTCCAAATGTCACCCTTTAACAGCTAAGAAAAATGCAAAGCTACGGCAATATTTGTGCCAAGTCCCCTTAAACTATGCAGATGCTGAAAAATTAGATAGTAACGGATGCCTTCTCACAGATCCACCGAACAAGTATGTATATAACAACGAGGACAGGTTCAAGACTGAGCAGAGTTCTAACCTTAGCCTCACTCTGCATTGTGCGACTGGTCATGCTCGATAAAATCCAATGCGTCGTCCTTGGAAACAAGATTGACACGGCTTACTCGATTTTTGTGGGTCACACCATATATCTGGTCTGCAACCTTCACAAGTTCTGGCCGGAAAGTGGTGGTTATGAACTGCGTGCTCGATGTGTCTGCCAGACGACGAATCATATCTAAAACGATGATTTAAGGATATCCTGAAAGCGGCTTGTCTCCACACAGATTACTAGTTTAAATAGCTGAGCATCAATAAATGGACACAGAAACATTTCTACTTTGCCCTGGAGGTACGACAAACTGTCGTCGGCAATCTACCAGCATTCACTTGGAAAAGAATTGCATGAGAGAAAGGCCTGAATGACAATGATCAGGCATTAGATTAAGATTTACATATGAACAAAGGACCAGGGAGTTCAGGAATGCGAAAGACCAAGTCGAGATGAAGGGAAAAAAAGGATACTCCCGACCGCTGTTCTGTACTGAGGATCCAGTGCTGCGTCTATCTCATCGAAGAGATAAAAGGGAGCAGGATCGCATCTTTGTATAGCAAAGATTAAAGCAAGGGCAACAACAGTTTTTTGACCTCCAGACAATTGCTTCATCGATTGTGTCTCCCCTTGCCCAGTAAAAGAAACCTGAAATACCACAAATCAGTCTCGGAAAGAAGATACTTCGGTTCTCGCAATCTGGAAGACATCATTAATTGGTCCCAAGGCTGGAAGCGGTTACCATTTCCAGAAGCCCAAATTCTAAGGGAAAAACACACCCTTTTATCTCTCAGTGAACCACCCTAATCTACTCATAAACTCCCTCCTCTCCAAAAAATGAAAGGGAATAGACAACAGAAAACAAACTTGCATCCCATGGTAGTACTCAGTCAAAAGCTGTTTCCTGAAAGATTTTCGTAATAGAAACAGAATATAGCACAATACTCCATGTGCCCAACAACACATAATTAAAGGGCTTGGATTTTTTTTATTTTTTATTTTTGTTCCTTCTAAGGACTCAGGATGTGTTTTGCCGTTAGAAAACAGCAGAAAGATCATTGGCTGGATAAGTTAAAAGTGCGTGCTTCACATATTAAGCCAACTCATCAGAATGGAAAATGAAATGCTACAGCAAGAAATTACATGCCTTGACTTTAACGCCAATGTATTTCTCTACCCTTCCCTCTAAATCTGCTTCACGAGGTCCATCCTCATCTTGATCATCATCAGCCTGATCACCATCCTGCAAGTTAAGGCAAAACAGGATATATGTATTAGCTTGCAGTGAAAATGAGTATTCCAGAGATGGACATCCAACCATCTCTCTAGAGAGGGTAAGCATAAACAAAAATGAAAGGCAAAGCCATAATCCCGGCTACAGCATCTATTCCCAGTTCCCACCAAAAGGGTAAAAGTCCTCTCTCAAAATAATAACCAACAAAGGGACAGGTGGAAAATAACTTGTTTGGCAATAAACTATGGAGGCCTGATCACCAGAAATATGAGTTGCACTATTAAATGTCATGACAACTTGTAGAAGGGATATTAGTTTTCAGAAAAATAAAAGACCTTTTTCTTCATCATAACCAGATGTCCATGACCGCCTTGTACCAGTTCAGAGAATACTTCTCGAAAATGCCTTGCAACACCTTTGAACGTACGTTCAATTGACTCATCCTTCCTTTGATCTAAAACTGATATTAGTTCGCTAATTTTCTGCAATTAGAGAAGGAATATAATCAGGAATTAATCCAACTTTAGCTCACATAAAAGCTTGTTACAGATAAATATTTGTCAAAATGATACCTCATCACCAGCATCTAGTTCTCTTTGCCTTTTCTCGAGTTCCTCCCTTTGCTCTGTGAAGTTCACGTACTGATCAAGTGCTTTCTTGTTTACATGACTGAACTGTTGGAGCTGCTCGTTGCATCTGTGAAGCATCTTTTGCAACTCTTTGATGCTCCTCCGTCTATACCTATAATCTCAAACACATAAAATGAGGTCTGATGAGCTTCAATAGTGGAAGCCAAATTAAAATTCAGTAGCAAAGGGAACATACGTCTCAAAAGCATCAGAAGATAATGGGCCCAAGTTCCGTATCTTTTTTGAGTACTCATCCTGTTTAGCTATAAGAGCATTCCTCCGGCTAAAGAGTTGTTCAAGTTCTTTAGTTTCATCCTGAAGTGTTTTCTCATAGTTGTCCTCCAAAGCCTGCATTCGAGCAATCATTTGAGAAGAAACCCAAGAGTAGAATACCAAAATTTAGTCCAAACTGAAAAAATTAAATAGTACCTTCAACTTCGCCATCTCGTCTTTCATCTTTTTGATTTGTTTATTTGTTTCCTCTATACTTCTATTAATTCCTGACAATTTTTGTTTCAGTCAAAAGCATGAACAAAATCTAAAGCTTCAAAACAACAATATTCCCATCAATCCAAAATTTCCACCTTCTAATCGCTGGGTTGCATCAATGACCAATGATTCAGCATCTTTTAGCTCCTGCCACTTTGATTCCGCTTCATTTTCATGCAAATCAGTCTCTGATGAGGATATAATAGCCTCATACTCTTGCTTCCGCCTCTTGAGATTAGTTGCAAGGTTAGTCTCAAGCTCTGCTTTTCTTGTTTCCGTCTGCAAACAAACAAAAGTGATGACCAATATGCACAAAAACAGAAACACTGTACTCTGGCAAGGTTCTCATTGCCAACCTCAATGCGATCTGTTTTGCAAGCAATAAGCTGCTCCTTTTCGAATTTTATCTTAGGATTCAGTTCTGACAGATATTTTTTTTCCTCAGGTGACAGATGGTCAATTAACTCCGTGCGCATTTCATCTCGCTTCGTCGCCATGCTGGCTTTGAGCTGATCGATCTGAGTTCTGACATCCACAAGCGATTTCATCTGCAAACAATTTGCATCGCATAAGCAAGAAGGCAGGAGAAAATGAGGGAGGGGGGAATGTAAAAGCTTCCATTAGAAACAGCCTTTGAATAGGCCAATAAAGCCCGATAAGTGATGTGACATAGTCAAGAACATTTATACCTTGTTTTCAGTAGCTTTCGTATTTAGCATTTTCTGCTTTTTAGCATTGGAGATATCTAGCTTAAGCTGTTCCAACTCTGATTTAACATGCACCAGCTCAGCATCAACTTTTTGCTGCTCAGAGACAAGTTCTGTTATTTCCTGGTCTTTCTGTGAGAAAAGTTAAGTGAAAACAACCCACAAAATTTGGCCAAGACTAAAATGAGACAAAAGAAAGCAGCTCGGTGTCCACAGATATTTTCTCATAGAAAAGTATAGGCCCACCCACAAGCCAAGAAATTTAAAAGAAAATCACGATTGGCCAAAAAATTTGCGACCATCAGTTAAGAAAGTTGAGACGAAAATTGCATCGTAGCAGGCTAGTGGATCCCTCTGTCACCTCTATAGGCCCAATAATCACTTAAAAGACCAAAAAGTGGAATCTGCTTGGCATTAAAAAAATGTACATTTGCCTACCCAGCATGGTCACCGAAGGCATGCTAAACCCACTCAGGAACCATGTTTCCCTAGTGTGAGCTCCACCTGAAACCTGGGTTTTATAATCTCTACATAACAACTATATCTGGGGACCTTTAATACTTGAAACAATGGATCCCTTAGTGGCAGGTTTAAAGCATGCAATTTTCTAGAAATTAGGTTGAACCTATTTCTGACCCGACTGACCAGGTCCAATTTCACTTATTCAAGCAGGTCATCACCACTGGAATCCAATTTTTGACCAGTCACACTTCAATAAATATAATAGAGACCAGTTCTTGGTGCATTCAGGTGAACTGGCAAGTCCAGTCCACTTTGAAAAACACTGTCAAATATGTATTTGACAAGATAAGCAGTAGTCGAACCACCTCTGGAATAAAGAACCAAAGGGACGACTGTTTTGTAAGCAAAAAGGATATTTTGCAATTCCTCCTTAATATTCTTCAGCTCCTCTTCCTTCATGTTGATAGATTTTGTATTTTGCCTGATTATATTCATAAACTTCAACCTTGAGCGCCTATAGTCGTAGAATCCCCCCGTCATACCACCTTTCTTACTAACTTGATCACCTGCCACAAAATTAAAAGTGAGTCCCATGTATAGGCGTCAAAAGAAAAGGATGCCATGAACCAGTCAATTACATTTTTACTAACCTTCCAAAGTTATACAATCCAGACCATCATTACGAGCTACCCTTGTAGCCACATCCAAATCTCGGCAAATCACTGTTCTAGCGAAAACCTAAGCAAATAGGAGATTGCCTTAATATAAGTTGGATTTCCATCCAATTTCATGCAGTAAGCCAGACAATAGGATAAAGGGTGTGAAGTGCACCTACCAACTGGTACCTATGAAGTGTACCTAAGACATGTACCCACTACCCACCACTTCCCTCATGGAAGTCTGTTCTTTGTTAGCCAGTACTTACCAGTACTTACTTACTATTACAATTAATTTTAATAAGAAATTGCATTGTGCTCACGAACATGGTGTATAACACCAACGACTTGACATATCTCATCCTTTAATATCTAAGATGAAATAAAACAAAACTTACGCCCTTTTCCCAATCAAGTGCCTCTCGCCTCACATCCTACAAAACCAGTATCCTTTGGATCCTGCCAATACAATCTCTCAAAAGTTCGACTATCATACATATCTAACTCTGAGAAAGGCAGAACAGCAGTGCTCTAGCTTCTAGCACAAAAAAAACAGTGAGAAAGGCTAACCTGGGCAAATGCAGGAGTGTAATTTGGTAAGAACTTCAGTTTCTTTAATAGAGGAATCACATCTGAACTTTGTGGATAATTTACATTTGGGGGCTTAACCCTGTTCAGAGGTATGAAAGTGACTCGTCCGCCTTTCAGTGAGTTAAGGTGTCTAATAATCCGGGTAGAAATCTCATCATTCTCAACCACCACATGAAATAAACTGTTTTAATGAACAGAATCAGTCATCTCAGGAAAATCAAGAAATACAATCAATAAAATCAAGTGAAAACATGAAAATTACAAAACAATATCCACTTACCTGTTTCCTGCAGTAACTTCCACTGCAGTATAGAACTTCTCATCACAATCAAGCAACTCAATGATGGGACCATAAACCCCAGACATCTGGTACTCTCGGCAGATTTTTCTGACAGAATTAAGCCCTCTCCTCACATCCTGAAAATATGCAGACAATTTATCATATGATACAGTTTATGAACTGCTTTTACAGTCAAATCCATGCTTTTTTTCCCTTTATATGGCTTGACATCCCCAATTTTCTGATAAAATGATAAGTACACTCATGTCTATGGCCTCTAAAATAAATTTGAATGTGACACAATCAAGTTATATATTGCTAAGGTGAAATTTCCTCTTATGCAATTTGCTAAGATTTTTCCCTAACCCATTTAGTTCATATCCCTAGGTTAGCAAATCAAAAGAGTCCTATATCTACACAACTACTGCCTTCCGAGCAACAATGGATTACGACCTACTCTACTCTCTTCTTGGAAAGTTATTAAGGCCTCATGAAAGATTTGCTCTGGCATTGATTAAAAACTAGCTACTTAAAGATATATCGTGCCCGACCTCACCGCCTGCCCACCAAAATGCTTGTAAAGGGCCAAAGAAAAGAAAAAATAGAAAAAACATACAACAAACTGCTTCATTCCGAGTGGACAAACCTATTTCTATTTCAAGGATTATGCAGCAACTTGGAGAAACTTGGTTCTTGACCTCGAAATTTTATTTTAGGCACTGCACTTGGCAAACTCAAGTGAAAAGGCAGTTTTTTAAAACATTTACAAATTATCTAACGACTTGTCTTGTAACCGAGCTATTTTGTTTTTTAGCTCCTTTTGTATAGGGATATTTACACAATCAGTCCCTGATCTTTGTCCTAATGTGCAATTTCATCCTTGAACTATTAATTTGTTCAATGTCATCCCTAAACTTCAACACGATATATAATGTTGTCCTTGAACTTTTAATTTATTCAATGTGATTTTTGAACTTTTGATAAATGTTCAACCTAGTCCCTAGACTATATAAAAATATCCAAGGTTAACCTTCCATTAATTCAAGTAAACGGAATTTGCTGATTTAGCTTCCGATCCAGTAAGTTTGAACATTGGACAAAAAAATAATGTTACACGTGGATTATCCACATAAGATATTCAATTCAAATCAGGATATAATAATCAACGTCATCAAATAACATGAATAATCATTTTTTTCAAATAGAACAAATTAAACAGATTAAAAGTATGATTATATTCTATTTTGAGTTTAATATCTTATGTGGATAATCCACGTGTAACATGTTGTTTTGTCCCCCATTCAAACATACTAGTTTGAAAGCCAAATCAACAAATTCTGTCAACTTGAATGAATGGAAGAAGAACATTGAACAATTTCAGATAATCAAGGGACTAAATTGAACATGTAACAAAAGTTCAACGACCACATTGAAACAATTAAAAGTTTAGAGATGACATTGCACATTGGGCTAAAGTTCGGGGACCACATTGAACAAATTCAAGGATGATATCGCACATCGAACCAAAGTTTATAAGCTATTTGGGTCATTTTCCCTTTTGTATATGGGTTTGCACCCCTTGGTGCCCTATAGTACTATTTTCTTTCACGTATCCAAAAAAGAAAAAAAGAAGAGGCCAGTACGTTATTCATAAAGATGCAAGTACTTGAATAAGTAATTCAAACGTAGCCCATGGTAGTTCGCATTTAATATTTTTATGGAAAAATTACGCAATCAACCATAATTGCACAATTACTGGACTTTTAACCCTTCAAGTCAATAGGTCAATTCAGTTAGTTTAAATCCATTTGAAGTCAATCAAGTTAAGAAAACTAGTCGATTCATGTGCCGTGGGTTTTCTTTTTTTATGACGTGGAATTACATGGATAAAAGCTGAGCCAATGAAATGGCCCATCAAAATTACACATGTTTCACATAAAAGTTCTGCATCAAATCAACCCCAAAAAAAATAAGTGCCATCATACTGATCCAGACTAAATTTGAAATATATATTTAAGTACAAGGATTCTTTATATAATATTTACACATTCTATTAGCATTGAGACGAAAAGGATTACTCACACCAGGTGTTGCATGATCAAGGTTCTTCTCTGCCTTATCGACCTCTGCTTTCCACCTATCGATCTGAGTTGAAAGTTCGCTTTCCTTGTCCCACAATGATCTGTCAACATAGATTATTTGAAAGAAACCAAAGACATGTCCAGCATTTTCAAAAGAAGTTATAGAAACCTACTTCCGCTCATCCTGTAGCTTATTCCTTTGTGCCTTATAATCCCTTAGCCTTCCACTTGTCTCAGGAATGAGGGATTCCAACTTTGCAATCTCAGTTTTACGGTTCTCAATGTACACATCTTGCTCACTTGACTCAGCTTTAAGCTGATCAATTTCCTTTTGAAGCTTTTGCTCCTATAATCATAAACAAAGAAAACCAACAATAATAAAATATTGTGGCAGCAATATAGACTTTTTGGACAGACAAGCCATGCGAAAGTGAATCACCACTGAAATCATAAGGCAATGTATGGTAACAGATGAAAGAAGCCAACTTGTAGAATGATTGATCTGCCCTATGCTTTTATTATTATGTAGACTACATACAACTATCTAAAACAGAGTTCCTCCTCAAGATCGTGAAAGTACCAAAAAACAGGTAAGAGGAACAATTTCAATGTTCCCCCAGGAACAAACATTAAGAACTTCAAACAGCATTCAGATTGTCTCAATAGATATAAAGTCCAACAAAGACCTTTTTTGGCCAGTACTGAAGCCGATGAGTGCCTCAGATACTAGGATCCTCTCGTGCTACTCCTCTTTCTTAGTCTAAGAAAAAAGGAAAAATAGTGTACTGACTTATAAGCTAATAAATTAAACTACAAATAAAGAGAACATCCAATAAGGAAGGGCATGTAAAGGCTTCTTGGATAGCTATTGAATTTCAGTCCTCCTCATAGCATAATTCTAAGGCATTCTTCAGTTTGATTTGGGTTGAAACTGGTACTGGTTAAACAGGACATTTGGGCATCAAAAGGACTGTATTATAGTGATAACAGGAAAACAAGAAAGTTGTCAGCTTCCATCAGTCCTGCAATGTCCTTAATAATTTTGAGGAAGATAAAACTAAGAGCACCAAAAAATTAGGGGTCTGGCATTGTCAATTGGAAAAAACAAATTAGATGGGTAAATTTGAATTATTTCACCTGCAGAGAAACCATTTTCTCATACTCTTTCTTTGATGGATCAGTGAGACCTCATTTTTCTGGTAAATGATTACTAGGATTTTGCACGTACTATACACATGCTCAAAGCTGAAAGCATATGTATAAAGAAAAGTTATTGGATTGGGAGTTACTTCGAGTAGGTAGTTATTTTGGAAGTGGCTGAAGTGGTAATCTTCCCTGTTTGAAAAGGCTCTTCGAAAGGGATAAAACATATAGTAATTTACATTGATATACTAATTTGTTAAACTTTTTTTATTTTATGCATGGGTAAACTTTTAAGGAATGAGAAGTGAGACAACACAGTATTTTCCAATTAAGATATCAAGTGCATTGGGAACTGGCACTCCTTTATACACTTATACAAAATAATATCAATCAGGCATGACACATTAGATGCATCTATCAAAGAGATAACCGTAAGCGGAATATAACACAAGTGTTCTAACCTGAGTTGAATTAATAGAAAGAACTCGTTCAAGATCATCAATTTCCTTTTGAAGCCATTTATCCCGAGCAGCTTTACTTGAAAATTGGGTGGCCCGACCTTGCTTCTGATATAGCATGCTAAGCTTTTTCTCCAGCTCCATAATTCTACATCATGAGGAACTTTATTAGTACAAGAGAGTTCTTAGAAGAAGACGGCCAAAAGGCAAGTAATAACAAAATCACCATTACTGATTTAGCAGAATTAAAGTACAGAAAACTAAATGAATACATGCACAGTTGGTCCTATAAGCTTCATTAAAAATGGAGAAGGCAAAACTTAGCAGGAGGAAACAAAAAGCTGAATGCAAGGGAGACAGACGGAATCACAAGCACTGGTACGATAACTCGAAACTAGCCCACAGAAAATGAAAAACAACTAAATGGTTCTGCATAGTTTAAAAGGTCAACAAACTTTTATCGTGTAAAGGGTTCTCATGACAGAATTCCATCCCTATGACAACAAGAAAACTCGAAGAGGAGTTCAGTCTAGTAGAAGTCAAGTCACAATCAATTTACCAAGAGAAAAGATTAGACTGACAATAGTGGAAGCAGTTTACTACCGAATGTGACAAAAGCATATGGATTATGAATTTGATGATTTATCCACAAAACATGCATGCGCTGTATTACCCTTTAGTTATATTCTGTTCCTCATCAACTTGAGTATTATACAGAGGAGTAATAGCAGTGAGCTCCTTGGTTGAGTCCTCAATTTCTTTCTGTAAAATCTCAAGCTGTTTCGCTGCTCCCTCCTGCAAGAAAAAGAATTCAAAGCATGTCCTTTCCATAATATCCAAAATTGAGTAGGAGATCTTGTAAATAATCACAGATATACCTTGGCTCTGATTATCCCTGAAATTTTTTCTTGCAAGTCCTTGACATCAAGCTCAAGCTCTGTCTGCTTTTTCACAGCTTCTGTTCTTCTCTGTTCTGCTGCTTCTCTTTCCTTACTTAAGCCATGAACTGCTTTAGTTAATTCTTTCAATTTTTCATCCAACTCTTTGGACTTCTCACGAGCATCGAGAGAGCTGTTGTAGCTCTTAATTGACGTGTCAGAAACTTTTGACCGAGCCTCCTCTATCTAAATGAGGCAAAATAACCACTCAGACATCAATTGCCTCCTGATCAATTGTTTGAGCCCTAATATAACTATATTTATATTTACATAATCATTCTGTATGAACAATAAATCAACTGAATATGAGGAAATGTAGCCACCCTGATCACACTTATAATATTGACATAGGGTCGCACAATTAAGATCTTGGCACAATAGTTAGTAGCACCATGCAATTATCAGCGCACTTGATAACATAGAAAAAAATTGAGGTGGGAGAAGATAGACAAACAAACTAGATTCATGACTGACAAATAACGTGGAAAAATAACAACACGTGTATGGCTGATGACTACTTTCTAGATAAACTTGAGCATTAAATAACGCAAAATCAAACCATTCAAATCAAGGCAAATACATTTTTCCATAGATGCACAATTGCAGGCACATTCTAAAGGGGGTGATACACATTATTTTAAGTAAAATATTCAATCTCTAGATGGTTTAGTGGCTTTGATATGGCAATTGACAAGCACTAATTCCAAAAGATGACTCAACAGAAGCAAAGATCACTAGCTTTGCCACAAATCCACGTCCCATCCAAGTTAGTCCTCAAGTAGCAGCACCAACCAAGCAACATCGCATCCTATTCTGCATCTCCTAAAATATATATTGTCACCCACATATTTACTGCCAGCAGCCCCTTCAATCAATAGTATTATCAGTTTCAGTGGTCAATCCGCGCAATCTTAAATATTGGTATTTGGGTACACTATACAATTGACGTTGAATTGCTCTTATCCCAACTATTTCTGTTTCACCATATCAAAAGCAGGAAGAAAACATCACAACTGCTACCATTATAAATCTAGTTTCTCCATTTCCATATCATGCATGTCTATTCTTACGAAGAGGGAAAAGCTTTGATACTAACCTAAGCCCCCGTCTGATGTCTCCTTGACTTCATTAATGGATTTTTAAGTTTTTCAAGCATATGTCATATGAAACGATGTTGATAATTTTCCCAAGCTCCCCACAGAAGCATGACAGGAGTTAGAATCTGTTGATTTTTTATTTCAGCAACCCCAATTGTTACCTCATCCTCAATGTTATGCCAGTATCAATGAAGATGATGCCCTTTTCCATATGAAGGGTATTATCATACCAAAGATGTAATCTTAAGAGATGGAAGCAGGGGAATCGGACCCACCCAAACCATAATGGCATGTAAACGGGTTTCACATGTTGAAAAGTTCGATAGCTTTGGGGTCAATTGCAGAAAACCTTATGGATTTGGGACAGGTTTGGGATATTATAGTTGGCAACTTCAATACTGAACCCGATATGTATAATTACTACAATGCCTTTATTTCCTATATAGTCCTTAGGTTATTTAAGTCATGTTTTGATAGACTTTTAGTTTTCACTTTTTGCTTAATCTAAATTGTGACGGACGCATGATGAATTTTTTAACCTGAACTTTCACAACATATAACTGTTGACACGTAAATTCACATATAATTATTTATTGATTTTTTAGAATTCGGATGATGTTGTAATCTTGTCGGCTTTTTGCTTTTCATTTAATCCTAAACAAACAGGCCCTTAGCAAATATGCATTGTTATTAAACGCTGCTAGGATTTGGAACGGTTTTTGGAACTTACACACAACAGCTTACTCTAATAAAAATTTATGAATCCCAAAAAGTTCTATAATGATCTGATTTTTTTCAGCATCAATCACCATTTCAAACCTAGCTACTCGCTATTGTTAGGTCTTAGATTTTTATGATCGTTGGTCATAAATATTGTTGACTTTATATTTTGCCGCTCCGTAGGTTGTATTTACCAGTTTGACTAAATGGTAGTGTTCGCAAATTTGAGGTGGCTCATTGTTTAGTTCATGTGAGATAATTTATCCGTTATAAAAATACTATCATTGGTCATAATAGCCGACAACTTCACTGAGCCAGGTATGGGATGTTACATCAAATCTCACTACCGGGTTTGGAAAGTAAAAGAAAATCAACAACTTTGGGACAAGGCCAGTCATTCCAAACCCGTCTCACTTCCATCCCTATCATCTTAGTAAATTTCAAAAGCACAGACCATATTGGCCTCAAGTTCATAAAAGATAGACCAATGACAAAGAATTAAAACAGATTATGCATAAGCTTACGAAGCTCAGCCGGAAAACTTTATATAATATCTAATCATGTTATGATGAGATTATAGTCCTAAGTATACTATAGCTGATTAACTGATAAGATAAGGTAATATAAGCAGATGCAATTCTTATTGGTCTATGCACCACCTCGGCTAACTTCTGTCTAGCATCTTGAAGCTCTTTATCATAAATTGTGTATTCCAAGGATTTACGCTGCTTGTCAAGCTGTTGATATTTTCTCAATTCCTCTTTCTCCTCATCCAGTTCCTTTAGTCTCTCATCCAAATACTGAACAACTTGGATAATCTGCTTCCTCTTATTACCTACTCAGAAGAAAGCAATAAGATCGACACATAATAAATAGCCCATGCATGAAGGATACGCTTGGATGACTTACCAGTTTCCTGCATGATTTTCTTACTCTCACGACGTCTCTCCTCATAAACTCTAGTACCACCGATCTCTTTCAACAAGTCCAGCCGCTCAGAGTCTTTCATCAAAGTCAATGACGCTATCTATAACCACACGAAAGGAAGAAAGAAGATAGCAAACAATACAGAAAAAGAATTCAAGAGAATTTTCGAGAAACTTAGAGAATTATGAGGGCATACCTTTCCTTGTTGCACCACATAATAAGGATTAGAGCGAGAAAACCCAGCACTTTCCAGTAAATTCATAACTTCAGTTTTCCTGCAATCGACATAGCTTGAAAATTCAGTTGCACAAGTCTGAAGATAAGGTTTAAGACATGAATGCACTTGGGCTACACATTCCCCGACAATGAGCAACACTCACGTGATGTGCTTTCCATCCAAATAATACTCATCCTTCTTCAGACCGACAGTTCTACGCAAGCGCACTTCCTCCTTATCAACCTATCATGGAGGGTGCACCAAAACTAAGATGGATTGATAGAGATAATAACAATTTTTTTCTCAAATATCATATCAAAATGCAAGGCCCGGAAGAAGATTGCGACGGACGTCTTAGAGAGATTGTCATGATGAATAGTTCTGTCTCTACAATAGTAATGCCAACAATCGACACAAATATGTTCTCTTCAGCTGGTAAAACACTAAATTTAAGCACTTCAGAAGCCATCAAGGCAGAAAGCACAGAGTATTCTCAATAAAATTTACTGTTACAACATCGTAAAAAGGAAAGAAAGACCATTCAATTTTCACCCAAATCAAGAAAGCTTAATGCAAATAGGAGTGTTACCGGAATGCGGTTGTCAGAGTTATCAAAGACAATCTCCACAAAAGCCGATAAAACTTGGTGTCCTGCACCTTCCTGTTAATTCCAGCCAGTATCATTACAGCACGTATATAATAACACCTCACGACAAAAAACACGCTGAATATATGGTGAAACGTACATGGAGAAGGGCATGTCTATCTTCACTGCGCAGGTTCTGAAAAATATCACTCAACACAAATCTTATTGCTGCATCACATCCAAAGAGTACAGGTTCCTTATCATTTTCACAACTAGCCAGTAAATATAAAAGAAAACATAACAACAATCAACCTCTTTTCACTTACCATGAAAAAAGTTTGATTTGCCAGATCCATTAGCACCAACTGCAGATCAATTTGGCAGGAGATAAAAAAAAAAAAAATGGGTAACTCTATTCTTGAAGTAAATAAGATAACTGCTATACCAACAAACCAACAATATTTAACAGGGGATGACATGAACTAGATATGCCCATAGAAGATAGTAAGCTGTGATTATGGTGCATATAGATCAATCATCGTAGCACAGCTCATCCTGAATATAGACACTGTCAAAGTACAGTATAAGTTGAAAACCAAGGCTCCTTTTCCAGTATTTTGAAACGTGGATCAAAATTTAGTCAATTAAGATGGGCTTCTCTAGTTGCAGAAAACCATAAAGGGTATGGATTGATTTTGTAAATGTGGAGAACTGTGAATAGATATTATATAAACGTAAGGGAAAACCCTAAACTCAAAGTTTAGTGATCATGTGACATATGGACCGCTAGACATGACCTGACATAGGGGCATGCCTAACACTTGAAAACATCACGAAAAATCAGTATAAGAGAAAATGACAAGAAAGGAGGATCGCTCATACCAACACAGTTAACTTTTGGACTGAAAGTCGATGTAGCAACTTGTTCTCTGTAGCTCTTGAACCCTTCAATTACAACCTGAACCAATGTTCAAATGACAAACGTATAACGCAACTAGAAGGTAGGAAATTATCACGGTAAGCACCGAACAAGGCAGGTTTCGAAAAACAATAGCTCATCCCAGCCAAGAGTACCTGCTTGATGTACATCTTGCAATTATCAAACCAGCACGCCTCTGCGAATTGAAGGCAGAATCATCTCAGCCGCGATCATATTAGAAACCAAAGCTCGGAATACGCTTGCAACATTAAACAATCTCATCACGACCTAAAGGATCAGAGCTCCAACAATTCCACAACGGTCTAGGTCCTCATACAGATCAAGCAGTATAAAAAGAGAAACTATCTCGGCAGTTTCTTGCATTCCGCTCGGGCGCGAAAAGCGTACGCCCCTAAGAAACGACGGGATCATTCTCGCCGGGCGAAACTATCCCATGGAGAGTCCGGGAACACTCAAACCCGAGCTCGCTCGCTCGCTCGAAACCCTAGAAACCTAAACCGCGAGGGGAGACAACCCCACCCGCGCGATCCAGCTCCGAAGGAAACCAAGCGAACGAAAGGGAGCGAGAAGCCAGCACCCCAAAAATTCTAGGGTTCCGGCGAGGAGGAAGACGAGCCAACCTCCGCAGCTCAGGAGATACCTAGCAGCAAGTCAGCATAAGCAGAAGCAGCAGCAGCAGCAGCAGCAGCTAGAAGGAGGAGCTAGCCCAAAAAAAAAGGGCCAAAAAGGAAAACCCTCGGAACTCTACTTCGCGAGCCGGCGAGGGTCGCTGCCGGAGGAAAAATGGAGGACTTACAGTCAAACGGTGGTGGGCGGGGGGAGGGGGGGGGCGAAGTCGCCGGAGCTTGCCGGAGGAAGACGGGGAGAGCCGCCACGGTCACCGATCAGCCATGGGAGGAGCTCGAGGGAGGGGAGGGGAGGGGAGGTGAGGGATTCGGAAAATGGGCGCGAAGGGAACGGAAATCTCGCGCTTTTCAAAGGAGAGGAGGGATCTGCTGCTGAATTGCTGCCATCAACTGCTTCGAGCTCTTGACTCTTGAGTGTGTGTGTGCGGTGGGGACTCGGGTCGGGTTTTTTTTAGCTCCAGCTTCTCTCCCGAATCGCGCGGCTCGTGTCGTGTAAGAACGAAGCGCCCAGCCCATTTCTTGGTCTTTTATTTTTACGTGGATAAGAGCAGCGAAAGTAACTGAAAGTCACTGAAATTATCGCGAAAATTGCAATCGAGTTCTAAAACTTTCAAAATATACAATCAAGTCCCGAAACTCGTTATGAAAATGCAATTGAGTCCGAAAACTTTCAAAAAATACAATCAAATCCTAAAACTTGTCAGATTGCTCCAACCAAGTCATTCCCTGCGAAAATCTGTGATTTCTTGCTGTCGATGATGACCTGGCTTTGCCGGAGCATCCGCGTGCTTACCGACTTCCCGAGACACGTGGCATCACCGCATTTCTCATCATATGCAAATTTTATTTGGCCACCGCGACATTGTCACGAGAGCGTAAGCAAATTGTCATTCGTGCCATTAGGAATGACGCCGTTTTGGGAAATCTATCTGACGGTTTGAAAAATAGTGACTAAAAAGGTCGAGCGGCATAGGAATTGAGTCCTCCCGTTAGGATTAGCTCGCGCTCTATCAATTCTCCCTTTCCCTTAATGATGATCTCAATCTAGTCGTCTTCATTCATCTTTTATGATTAACACACTAGTCGATTTCGATTCTATCTATAATCTTTATTGAATCTAGAATTCGCATACCCTTTTTACTAGGTTACCCTTAATATGATTCGTCGTGTTTCTCATTTTTCTCGAGGCGATAAGAAAGGGGAAAATTATCCAATATTCAACTAGCCACCTTTGATTAGATTTAGATTTAAGATCAGTGCAGAAGAAGTGAAACTGGGCACGTGCGGACATGAAATAGGACAGAAAATTTCCCCCGACCAAGCACGCATATGGATATATTTCGATTCATGACGCACGTGAAAACGTTCTAAATTGCAATTAGATCCTTACTCGACTTGATGGGTTTCTTAATCATGGTCCGATATAACATGAATCATCAAATCAACGGCAAGAGCTATTGAGCAAGTTCCCTCTTTCGGATCGAGGAAACAGTTTTCAGAGATCTTTAAGGGTCGGTACGCACGGCGCCTAGTATTAATCATTCACGGTTACTCGAAGGATGATTGATTATTCTCTTGAGCAAGCCACATTGAAGTCTCTTGTGCATCAATTTGAGAAACATGGGATCAAATCTAGTATCGCTTGAAGACCGGGACACCAGTCAGAAACTTCTTCCAAGAGCGACACCCAAGAAATAGTGTTGAAGCGTACCAAAATCCCTACGAATATACATAAATTTTTTGCGGAATCATGCTATCGATAAATCCCGGTTTAAGTCAATCGTCGAGCTTCAACGGCTTGAAGTACTTGCCATCGATGAGGTAAGTCCCGATCGCAAGACGAACTGCCCATACGTCTTTCGGTTTCCTCGATACGATTCTGCATTCAACGATCAAATTCGAAAGAAAACCGAATCAATCACACAAAGGGCATGGTAAGACGGACTGTTTAGTTTCAGAAAACATTAAAAAAAACACTTTCCATATATAAAAACGAAATTCTTTTTCCCATCAAAATCAGAAAACAGGTGATATTCTTTTTCCCAATGTTCTTCATCTGAAGTAGGAATGGAAAACATGTGAAGTTGTCTGCAAAGAGTGTACGAATTATTTGCCAAGCACGTTTTCAGGACGGTCTGAACGAAACAAACGTACCTGCCCACATCCCCGGGCTTGACCAAGCCCGAATTAACCCGTAGGCACGGAATAGACGCCGCGGTCTTGACCATCGTAGGAGCCTCGGTCACGATAACCGGAGAGCCCACCTCTAGCTTCGATCTTGCCCCCGACAATGAACCGTCGGCTTCGCATTTTACGATGACGCTCGAACAATTTAGCCGGCCGGGACCGGTACGGGGCGTCGAGCACGGAAACGAAGGAGTCGAGGAAAGAGAGAACGCCATGGACGAAGTGACACAGAGGATCTCAAAGTTGGGAGTTGAAAGTTCTGTGATAAAAGAGCGAGTGGATAATGCTTTTGTGGATCGGAAGTCACGTGGGACTCGGGCTCTTGGCATGTTTTGCTCCCTTTGTCTTTAGCCCGGTGAACAGCTAACGCAAATGAAATCGAAATTTCTCGCACATAGTCAGGAGGGAACGGAGTAATTTCGTGAAAAATCTAGGAAATTTGACAGAAAACCTTACTCATCTTTAACGATGGACCAGCTCTAAGTAACTTGTAAGTAAAACATTGTCAATAAAATGCGCATCTATGATTACGATGCTAGCGGTCAGCTTGCACGGTCGGTTTTTTACGCCTCTTTGTGTCGCAAGCTCGAACGCCTCTTTGTGTTGGAAGCTCAAACGACCCAAGATTTGTTTCATTTGAAAATGCCTGCAATTAGCAAGACACATTCACTTTCCTTAATTTCAATGCACATTCACTTCGTCTTTACTTCAATTACTTCTCAAGCTTCAGCTGGGCATTTGCAATCTCGACCAAAATAAGCGAAAGCAATCAAACATGTTCCGCTTACAACGGTATCCTTCAAGCCAGAATATTCATATGAAGACCGCCGAATCTCGATCGAAAGTGAGAATCCATGGGATTACATGGATAAAATTTCTCAGACAAACTAAGAACCATTTTCAATGTACTGCATAGGATGAAGATAGCAACGTAGTGTTACACTCAATGAATGCGCTAATCCGCTAATCCGGAGACAAGTCATGTTTGGTACATTGCAATGGAGGAAACTATTCTTTAGTGGTGCCGATGAAATAAAGAGCTGGAATGGAAAACACTTAAGCTAAGATATCGTGATGAAATTGACTATCATGCTGCCCATCCAAATAACATGATGATGGCAAGTCCATAGATTGGTCTTGGGGGAGAGAATTACAAATATGAACATGTTGTGAGAAAATAGAAGGGGGGAAATTGCAAAAAAAGGAAGTACTTTGGGTTTTTGGGTAAATAAGCAACAACAGAAAGGGAATTACCAGACCTTTACAACCTATACAAAATTCCATTTTGGTATAAAAACTCATTTCACTGTTTTCAGCCAAAAAAAATTGCTTTTGCCCTCTACACTACAGGCGCCTTTACCTGTGTCTGTATTAACACTATTTCTTTGTGTATGTGAGATACGGATCTTGAGCAATCGTCAGGACATCCGGTCTCTCTGCCTGATCATATGTTAGACAGCGACGAATCAATTCCTGCAAAGAATCAAAGTTGCGCAGAGAATCGTTAACGAGCTTCTGCACATTATTCCTACATTTTTAAGTAACAAGTTTATCATATATATTGTTTGCAGCGGTGTTAGGATTACACCGAAAGTTGTAGCAGCTGAATAGTTACAGGAAGTTATCTACATAAGATTCACGATAAATGAGGAAAATCTAAACAAAACGAACAGTATAAAAAAATAAAACTTTATGTAGCTTTGATCTGACACCACCGTCTATGTAGCTATTATCTAAAAGTTAAATCTCCAATATAAGTTCTATTCTTCTCTGCATGCTGAGGGAACCAAAATATTCTGGAAGCAGATGCTAAGTAACTTGACCCATGTATGTTAATTAAAAGGGGAAGGTATCCCAAACCACATAGGAAATAATGGAATGACAATAATTGATATCACTTTATGGAGATTAAAATTTGTCACTAATATGCAACTGTTGAATAACAGGAGAAAAAATTAATGCCCAAAAGCTCATTATTTGCCATCAATGTGGGAATAACAACACACGAGACAGAATAATATACCTTTGCCTCATTTGAGACAGCAGGTCTTGAAGGGAATTCAACCTTTCGAGCTTTAATGATCGTATCTTCACGCAGGATTCTTTCCTGGGTCTGGTCATGCCCAAAAGGACGTCTCCCAAAGAGCATCTGGTAAAATAGAACACCGGCTGACCATACATCAACCTGTTGAGGAAATAAACTGATTCTCAGGAGGAGGTAACCCAGTGAAACATAGCACGAATTTATTTTTTGATGTCGAATTTATTTTTCAATTCACATATTCCACTGCATCAGATGTCGGATGGATATTGTGTGCTAGCAAAGAAGATCAGCTTAATTACTTGACCAAAGTTATCAGCTGAAAATATATACATCCAAGACAAAGCAACCCTGGTTAAGAACGGATCAATAAGGAACCCGATACAAAAAGCCACTAACCTTCGATGATATTAAGGGTGTCTTGCTCAGCTCAAAGCATTCCGGAGGCAAGTACCTGAAATCTCGAAAGAAATTAAGTATTATATGTCTGCCTCAACACCTACAGAATAAACTTAAAGCATGGAACTGTTACGTAAGTAGCAAAAGTACATCAGCCAAAAGTAAAGACGTGAACATCAAACAGAGTTCTGTGACAACCAAAATATAAGAGACGAGGACATTGGAAGCGCAAGGTATTGCAGTATTGCGCTAGTACGAAAAATTTTTAACGAGAAAAAAGCTCTCTGCGGCATAGTCATTGAACATCGGTACATATCACAAAGTAAGAAAGTATGACACATCCTTAAAAAATAAGAAACGTTTGCACAAGATAACAAAATTATAATCTTCCAGTTTCCATGCCTCAAAAGTGAGTTCCTTTCTTCCCCTACCGCATATGGTCAGTTTTGTCAGAGAGATTTTCTAATTTCAAGCCCAGGTTAAAATAACAAAAATACAAATAACCCCATCTTCATCTTTTAAGTCCTCAACGATGATAAACACATGCCAGGGACACACAAAAAGAGAACACAACTTAAATTGCACAACTCACCAATAAGTCCCAGCTCCCTGGGATGTAAGTTCCATCCCCTGAGATCCCACATCATCTTCAACTATCTTACTGAGACCAAAATCAGTCACTTTTGCAACACCAAATTCATCAAAGAGAACATTTCCAGGCTTCAGATCATAATGGATGATCTTCTGTGCTCTCCTATTCAAATAAACAAGACCTTGAAATATTTGCACTATGATGATTCTAGCTTCTTTCTCAGGCAATAGCGGCGTTGCTTTCAGGACAGCATCAAGATCTTTACCTGGACAAAAAAGGAAAATATTTAGGGAATTGCACAAAGACACTTCAGATGCCTTTTGTATGTCAAATACAGAATGTCTCAGCTGCCAAACTGCACAAAAAACGACCAATTGATAGATGTACATACCGCTACAATATTCCAACACAGTGCAAAATGTATTGTGGTCAATCTCGAAAATATCCCAAAGCCGAACAATATGGTGATGCACCAGGGTTTTGTGAATATTATATTCGCGGATTGCATGACGTATATAACTTTGTTTCTTTTCTTCACTCCACTGAGCATTCAGCCCGTGCAGCTTGCATGCAACATACTTATGGTCTACCAAATCATATGCCTGCTGGAAATTTCTTCAGAGTTCAGATCACTGAAAAGGGTATTTTCTTACACAAGCCAAAATAGACAAAACCAAATTGTCATCAGCTCTCTTTCTGAGAAAAAGGAAGCCCATGACTAGAATTAGTACAACAGAGAGTTTAACGTTAAATTTGTCCAACACAAAGATCTGACCTTGTAAACCTCACTGAATCCACCTTTGCCAAGAAGGTTCAAAAGGGCATATCGATGATTGAGGATCTGAAAACTATTAAAACGAGAACCATCCTCATCTCTAATGCGTTTCATTTCTCTTATGAGCCTTCCCTTCTCAAATTCATACCGATCTCTCTCACGTAGGACAGTTTCTTCCTCCTGGAACCAACTCACCAATCAGTCAAGAAAAACACTTATGAATGTCAAGTTTAATAAGCTTGCAGAACCAAAAAACTGATAAAAATGTATCGGAAACAGGATAAACAGAATAACTTACTCGTTTAATGCTGGCTAGACGAGATTTATATATCTCATCCTGCAGAAGAAAATCTTCTTCTGGAACTCCATTTTCACCATCGGGTCCATCACCTTTGTCTTAGAGGTTACAAATCATCAGTGCCTTATTCATCTCTTGATGCATGGTAAATAATCAATGTGCCAGATACAGGCACACTCCCAAGCATGGGCATAAGCTCAAATTCGATGGTAGAGTAAAAGAAACCATGACAAAAATAAAGGGGACGTCAAACAATTGTGCATACGAATGGCCTCAAAGCAACAAAGGTCCAAAGGTTTCAAAACTGCAGAAAGGCCAGTAATTATAAGAATTTATCTTCACAAAGAAATCTGAGAGGTAAACTTGTTTTTGCAGACAATGAAACAGCTTTTAGAGCAACAAAAGTCAGAACTTGTCAAAACTTTATAAAGGCCACAAGCTTAAAGCATTAGCCTGGCTAAGCAACTTAAGAAATAACCCCATTTTTGCCAACCATTATAAAATATAAAAGTAAAATATCTTAAGAGCTATGATTTTAGTCATGGGGTATGCCTTGTATTGAGACTCACCCCGTATACAAAGACCTACATGCGACATTTCCAGATCATACTTTACAAACATGCCAAAGCCACACAGATGCAGCAAAGGATAATCATGTTTAGCAACAGAAGCTCACCAGCTTGTTTTTTCTTTAAGGATTTTCGCTGCCGCTCGATGGCTTCCCTAGTTTCCAATAGTTGTTTCTACAGAACCAAATGCACACAACACTAAAAGATCAGAAAGAAGAACAAGGAAATATCAACAAATTCCAGGTAAAATTTTCTGTCATAATTGATGAAAAACATTGAAGGATTAGGACACAACTTCCACTTGCAGGGTGACAGAAGCTTTTATAGAGAAATGCAGTCACGTCTAAGATGATCATGGTGAGTAATGGGAACTGAGCGCTACGGATTTAAACTCCAAACATCTTCTAAATCAATTTTCTAAGTTTGTGTCCGCAATAACTCAGGCTGTGACACAAGTGTTAACTGTCTTCCTAACATTTTACATGCCATTCAAACAGGTTACATGAGTAGACTTTAATCCGTTATATGAAGCCAAAAAGGGTGTTAGAATGTTTCACTAGAAGCAGGCATAAAATTCTCTTTTACTAGCACATAGTATTTCTACTCGTATAAGTATTTCAAAGCTTTATAGTTTTTTAGCTAAGTTAGTGAATTTAGATAGAGATGAAAGGGCTAAAATGGCTAAATTTGGCACGCGCTTCTATCCTAACTTCTTTCTACTCTTGAACAACATAAGTATTATGCTGCATTGTCATGCGGCATTCACTACTGGATCATTTATAGTGAACTCACAGTGACAATTACAAAAGTTTCAGTTTTTTAAATTGCTTGTTCACCAAGCACTCAACAAGTACAAGAAAACCATGTTTTCCTTTTCAAGATTCATGTGGAATGGAGACAACTAATCGAGATAGAATGAGAAACAAGGAAAAGAGAAGGAAACAGCCACCAAAATGAGTGCAAATACACAAGAGGCTTCGACAAGACGGGATAAGAAGATCCATAAGAAAGAAACTCTACATACAAGATGAGCATTCAAATCTTTCAATGCTTGTCCATCCTCCCACGTTTCAGATATAAGAGTTCCAGCTCTGAAACAAATAAACGGCAATGGAAATTCAAAAACGAACAATAACCAAATGATATGGCAAAAAGCTGAGTATTCTCAAATTCTGAATCTGGAAAACCACGGAAAAATAAGGCAATTAACCAGCAGCATAGTTTTTATTAGGTTGTCAAAAGAGATTAGAGGTTAATCAACCCATCAAATAGCAATTTAGGCTTGCTTTCTCATATTGAACTTCATCATCGGAAGATCTGTGATATGAATATTGTTATTGTTCACTTAGGACATTTCTTAAGCCATGATTAATGGAATTTGAGATGTGAATAAGTTTCACGTTTTTCAAAAACTGATGCTGAGTTAATACTGCACTTGACTCATTTTCAGTATCTGGAAATCATATAGTTGGATAAACCAACGCCCTGAGAGTACTTATTAGTAAGACCTCTCTTCGAATCTGCTTTCTTCAGCGATCTAGCTAGTGGAATGAAAGAGAATGTGCATTCGGCTTAAGATAGTCATGTGCAAAACAAGTCCATCGTTCTGAACTTAAACAGTCTGGTGTGTGACTAGCCCCCGTGCTATACAATTGGATTCTAAGCAAAAGGAGAGAAAGGAACCAAAAAAAACAGGAGATTGTGTTCCACCATTCCTTTTTGTCATCTTCAATGGTCTGGTATTTGATGATCTAGACGTGAATTAAAACATCTTGACTTTTCCATAAGCTTTTTCATCCTTTGCTAACATCTTTCAGGCTCTAAAAACAAGTTTGATAGGAAATATCATTTATAAGCACCTAAACAAAAGGATATACCTTGTTACACCAACATTGCCAAGTCTCAAAGAATCCTGCCGTACTTTTAGTCTTGCTTCTTGTCGTTCAGCTTTTGAAACAGATATCAACAGGTCAGCTATTATTTTAGTTCTCTGCATAGAAGGGTAGTAAAACCAGTTAAATAGTAGTCAACATGTTATGATTTGTACGAGAAGAATCCAATAACAAAGCAGTCGTCCCAAAGAAAAAGAAAAATGGAAACTGCATCCCTCAAACCATTTAAATAATAATATAAGAACTACAGGCGATTTGCAAAGTACCTCAAAACTGAAATGCTTTGTACAATCATTTCTTATCAATTTTGAGATGTCAAACACAGCTCAATTGCCTAAATCTTATTTTTGCATAGAACTTCAAACCTGATTTCTCAAACACAGACACATCAAGTCCTTGATCAAATTCAGGCAAAACGCATACCTTTGGCTTCATTTGTTGCTCATGGTCTTTAAGGTCCTTTAGTTCCTGTCCAAATTGAAATCAACAACAAAAGAAAGGAGTAAAAATTATTTAAAAAATGATGGTGGGTTCAGAGGTGGTGAGAAATTGGATGAGGTATTTCAACTGCTTTCATGCTTCCACCAAGTGGCTATCCTCTTTCCTGCAGTCCCTTAAAGATCTAAATGCCACACCTTTTCTAATTGGCGACAGAGGTTCTGATTTTCAGATGACTCTTTTCGTGATTTACGTAAATCCTCCTCCAATGCTGCCACCTTTGCTCGTAAAGACAAAACCTCCTCCTGCTAAAAATTTGCATATAGAGATTCAAACAATATGATCTATCAAATTGAAGTATTATATAGTGTTCCATATCCTCTAAGGATATGCAAGGAACAGTGACACTTGCAGAGTAGTCTACATCTCAATATAACTCACACATCACATTAAAAGAAAAGAGCATACCTCTGAAGAGTAGTGACCGTCATTTTGTAATTGCTCTTTTGGCCTAGTATCCTGCAGATGAAGATAAATGACTAGTTACTATTTCCTTTTCTGAATGTAACAAAACAATTAACTAGTTAAACAGCACAAAACACAAGTTTGCTCACAGATAAGTTCAGTGCAAAACCTACAAAAGATAGAATATTTAGCACAGCAAGCGGCATCAGCTCGTTCAAATCCTCATAGACAATACTATCAGCCTACTGACGACGGAATATCATAGAGTCCGCCATGAAACAAAAACAAATCTCTGTTCATAAATCTCCAGAAAGCGCAACACCAACACTTAGTCGGAGCTGAGCCCCGATATTCATAATGTCAATCTCTTCAAGAATTCTTCTAAAAGAAATAATTAATACTAGCAACCATCAGATTCTTCCCTTAATTTCAAATGTAAAGATTGAGTGAAGAGGAGATTGCAGCAGGTTCCATCAGACAATCTACTCACCTTCATGTTATGATGAATATTTTCTCAGATAGATAGTATTTTCTAATGCTCACTGTCCACTTATCTCAACGTTCTCCTTTAAAACCCGCACAAGATTTCTCTTACACCTCGATAGACTCAATTTGACCATAACGGAAAGGCCACAACTCATATTTAAGTCTAAGAATATGCAATTAAAGCAGATGAGTGAGTACGCAATTAATACCATCGAGAAAATGGGCATTTTTTTGCACTACTGACCTGTCATGCTACTTTCACAAGCACTTCCCCAAAAAAAGGTATTTATTTGCTATGAGATCATTTAAAATGCGTTAAAGAAAAAATTGCCAGTCTCTGAATGATCACCGCAGTCCTTTCAAAGCTTAAAACAATCAGAAAAATGAAGAAAGACAACAGTATGAACTAAAGTCATATTTTTAAAAAGAACCACTAATTAAAACATATCCAAACGAAGCCCCGTCACCATCAACACATGCAACACTATGTCCTATTCACCATCCACATGACATTAAGATTGACTTTTCTTTGCTAATAGGTGTAATCAACACCCTTTTATCTGATATTCAATGACATCACTGAAGTTTTGTTTTTGCTCATCTGGGTTCCTAAACTTTTTTATGGAAATTGTTCAACCTAACCTTCATGCCGTTAACATCAACAGAAGTAGCTAACATGGAAAAAACATGCTCTATCATAGACATTCACATAACGAAAACACATTTACGCACATCTCCATTTAAAGCTAAGTGCGATCCACATCATGACATTGGTTTAATAACTGTGGAGTTGACACTCTACATTTGTCTCCTTTTTCTTATCAGCAGGTTGAACTTGAATGTAAATAATCATCATAAGTTGCTCAATTGTTTATTCTTACAGAGGCAGTTCGCATGCACCGAAACTTAGCAAGTGTGCAACAACAATCATGTGATATATGCCCATGAGAAAATACCCACTTCAATGAATACGAGTTCATGCTTTATGCATTCCATGGAAATGCTAGAGAGTACTAATTCCAAGGTACATGACAATAAGAGGTTGAAACAATACCTTATGATACGAGTTCTCAAGCTGTCCATTAAGTGGTGAAATCGTTGATGCAGAGATTTGTGATCTCGTTTGATCATTAGCTCTGGACCCACGGCCCCTTCCAGATTGTGACCTACCACGACCATGTTTTTTCCGACTGACATCAAAATTAACCTTTGTTTCCAGGGTTTCCGCTATCTTTGCCAAACCATCAACTGCCTGAGTCATAATTACCAAGCCATTAGCTTTCTTTGTCCACAAATAGGTCCCGTAAAAGTGATTTGCTTTTTGGTGAGTGGAACCATCGTAACAACATAAAAGAAAAAAAGGAAAGAAAACAGAACGTTTACATGAAGGAAAGGGAGTAAAAGCAGAACAATGTGACTTCAGTTTTGATAGAGATTTACATTCAATATTCAATAGTCATTCAATGGACAAGGCCTTACCTCAACAGGTTCTGAAAAAGTTAAACTATCATCCGCATGAACCTTTTGCCGCTTCTGAGTGTTAGCTTGTATAAGAAACTCCCCTGCAATCTGACATGAGAAGGAAATTGAAAGATGTCATTGAGTAAAACCAAATGGCAATTCTATATTGAGGCTCACAAATCACTTAAAAATTGAATCGCAGGCCCAACCCACTAAAAAAGACGAGATAGCACTAGCACTCCCATGACTGTCGTTTCATAGAAAACTATCAACATGCTTTGAAAGTCCATGCAGAATTTCTCGAAATGAAAAACAAGCACGTGAGACACCCTAACAAAATGTTGTGGCAGACAAGCATGCACTAGCAATACAAGCAGACACATCAACATCAGTAACCGTTACATTAGCCCGTGCCAAGATAAATACTGAACAACGTGTTGGCATTAACCTCCGCTATACATTGTTCCGTGTCAAAGGAATACCATCTTCAACAGAAAGAATAGTTGATTATACCTCAAAAAACCATACTAACCTTTCCACAGGGCATACCTGGGTACCATTATAGAGGAGTACGGTATTGCGCGCTTCTCCTCAGAGATCCATAGTAACCCAACTTATAGTTAATTACTAACGAACAAAATCAATTTTCCTTTTTACAGAGCGATGATTTACAAATCCAGAGTCTTAAATTAGTTTATCTATTTGATCGAGTTTCACATTCGCTCAAACAATAGAATGTGAAAATAAATGACCAAACAAAAAAAAATCCTGCAGAATAATTATAACTGGAAAACTGCAAAACCGCCTTATCGAAGAGCCTCAAGAATAGTCGCAAGTGATCATACGTTTCGCAGTGTTTCCGTAAATTAGACCTTTGTTAAGGCCAAAGAATACAGACAATAACCAAGCAAGAGACTGTCCCCATTTCATTTCACCATATTCTTATAAACACGTGTCCGAATCAACATTAGCGAATGTTCTTCGTACGAGCGTAACGCATCGATCGATGATTATTGACAAGTAACTCAACTAAAACGAGTATGATCTCCAACTCATTTTCCACAAAATGACAACTGCAACTACCTAAGAGCTCAGTGATAAGCACAAGCAACCTTCAAAAGGAAAGACGGATCTCATTTCAACGGGATAATTTGCAATTCTGAGCAACACTATCATTCATTTAGCAGAAAAGGCAAGATCATCAAAGCCATTGCCGGTCTTGCTCTCCTAAACAGCAGGGAAATGAAGTAAAAAGGAGCTCACATCGTCGTCGGAGTCGCTGGAACTCGACTGCCCGGCCAAATCGCTCGCGAATTTCGAAGCCGAAGAAACCGAGGACCGAGCTTGCGCCGGCTGCTGCTGCTGCTGCTGCTGCTGCTGGGGCAAGCCCGAAGTGACGGCCGAGGAGGCCTTGCCGACCAAGCGAGCCTCGAGCTTCGCGAACTTGGTGGACTGGTCCGATTGGTTGGACGAGTTGGAAGAGAGGTGCAACAGCATGTCGTCCGACATTGCGCCGGACAAGCGTCGAGAATTTCTTCACAGGAGGAACCTCACTCGCCGCACCTGACCGAGCGCGGTCCGATCACGGAGCATTTCGCGTCAAAAGACAAGCGCACCGCTTTCCTGACCGAGCTTGACTCACGATCGGATCCAAAACCCTAGAATGGCGGTGCCGCCGGCGGCCGCGGCCTCTCTTGACTGGCCTTCTGGGCGGCGTCTGAGGTCAAGGCGCGATTGCATGGCCCCAAGGAAGGGGGGGGGGGTGGGGGTGGGGGAAGATGGTCCCAGCAAATTCACAGGGGTAGAGAGAGAGAGAATTAGGGTTTTGGGTTGTCTTCTGGAGATTTTGGTTTGTTGGAGGAGGCAGGAGAATTGTGGAGGATGGGAGTACAAATCAAATCAGATAAATTCAGAGAGAGACAGAGATGGGTTTTGCAGTTGTTCTAGATATATAAATATATGGTGCAAAAGTGTACTTTCAGGTAAAAAGGGAACATAGGATTCAAAATCTGTCCTGGGATACTCTCGGTCATATGAGAGTGGAGAGGGAGAGGGGAATTTGAGGGGGGATTATGTCATTTTGAGCATGGAAAAACCATAGGGTGATGAAGTGCTTATATACATCTGGCATGGGAGCTTTGGCACATGTGAATTCGGGGAATTCGACGGGTCTTGCGAGTTTAGGCTCGGCCTTACTCGAAAAACTGGCTCGTGCCGTGTCGGGCTCGCGTGCGACGGATGTATGTAATGAATGACATTCCTTTCTGTGCTGTATCTGAATCTGATGACACCCAGAAACAGTAGCTTAAGCTCTTTACTGCCTTGCCATATTGTGTCCGCAGATTTGTGTTGTTGGATGTTGAAATGCCCCATCGAACCCATTTTGCCATTTTGCATTGGAGTCCATGTCTGAACTGAGAATTGGAGAACCGTAGAATGAATGCTCTATCAAATTGACAATGGTTACTGAGGAAGACAAACAGCACGAGGATTGGTTTTTCTCTTTTGGTAAATGAAAAATGGGGTCGAGGTTCAGAGTTACCGATGAGACTGACCACGTCGTCGATTAAATTAACATCTATTCTTGAGGATTTGCCTATTTTATCGACAATTAGAGGATATGGCAAATCCTGGAGAACAAGCCATCAGAACCTCTGTCCTACCTGAAGCTTTTCACAAAACAAGAGAGAGACTACGTTCTCGATTCTATCTTTCCAGGCACTATCATGCCCCCACGGAATTAAGCGAAGACCCGCGAAAATGTCCTCCGATGCCCAAATGGGAGATCCACCTTCGCCAGTTATATCTTCCGTAACCATATATCATTTGTCCAACATCAACAACTATGCAGAGATCGCAAACAAGGGAAAAACTTCCATTAGGGCAAAACAATTGTCACTCACTGGGATGAAATTGCCGCATAGCCAATTTCCCGCGCAGGTACTCGACCCTTGTTTTGTTTCCTTTTCGCCTTTTCCATTCACAACAAAACCATTTTGAAGATTTATCTACACATGCCGATCATTTCAGAAACCCGAGGACTACTATAGATAAAAACTACTGGAGAAAGAGATCGGATACAAAACTGGTAGCCTGAGTAAATGGTGGTTCTTAATTCCGGCAGAATGGAGAAAATCGAATTATAATTATTTGAAGGAGTGAACTTGAGAAAAATAACTATAAAGAAAGAGTCGAAGAAATTCTTCGTTTGTGATGTACAACATTGAGGACACCTAGACGAAAGGTTGCTTCCCCGACATTCTCCTGCACAAAAAGGTCAAAAGAAAGATATCGTCAATTTTGATCCAGCAGACAGTTCACAAGAATTGAGCAACAAATCTCAAAAAATGAGCACTGACCTCGTAATTTATACTTTGCGAGATACAAGAATGTAGAAGCTGGCCCCATTAAGAAATTAGTTCTGAGTAAGTTTCTCATTCCATCTGCTTCCGGATGCTTACTCATATATGTAAAAGAAGCTTCCTACCACCAATCATAGTTTCTCCTAGTCCCATCATATCTGGAATTCCCAAACCTCGAAGCAGAAAATCTCTGCCCTGTTCCTTGTGATCTGGAGTTTCCATAGGGGCCATACTGCGCCGAGGATCTCTGCCCTGATCCTTGTGATCTGGAGCTGCCATAGGAGTCATATTGCACCATATGTGACTTATTTGAAGATTTGGAGCCAGATATGTGACCCTTATGTGATGGCATTGCAGGAGATCTTGGGCTTTTTGGGAACTTGCTGGCCGGACTGTCTCCTGGATCCTCTGTGATCCAGCCACCCCTACGTTTCGATTGGGGAGGTGTTCTAAGGCCCCTATCTTCATGCTTGAATCTTTTCTTTTTCCCAGAATTTTGGTTAATGTTAGGTGCAGAGTTGAAGCCCATGTAGTCATCATCTTCTCTATGAAATCTCATAGTCGCCGTTGAGAGCTCATGGTTCCTCTTGCGTACCTGCAGGTCAACTTCATTAGAATCGACATTCACGAGTAATAAAGCACTCCTCAAAGGGCTTCACTTAAATAGTGAAATAGTTATTCACCCATTTGATATAACCCAATACCTTGGTTGAATTGTTACACTCCCGCGCAAAGTGTCCATCTTTGCCACATTTGTAGCATGAACTAGGTGCTGCTTCATCTGTGGTTGAATTCTTACATTCCCGGGCAAAGTGACCTTCTTCACCACATTTGTAGCACGAACTAGGTGTAACTTCACCCTTGGTTGAATTCTTACACTCCCGGGCAAAGTGGCCTTCCTGACCACATTTATAGCATGAGCTAGGCGTTGATTCACCCATGGTATCACCGCGAACATTTGAGCAGGCCTGTTCCAATGAAATAAGAAAAACCTGCTCAGCAAGTGGACAGCAACCCAGTAATACTATGCAAAGGGACATTTCTAAAAGAAACGTTCCTGTTTCAGGTGATATTTTTGAAGTGTACTTCCTAAAAGTAAAGAGAATAGCGTAGTGCCCTACCCAATTTGTCCAAGGACTTACATATGCTTGATAAGGAAAGGCTCCATTTCAAAATAATGATTACCCATAAGCCAGCACATAAATAGTTACAATTTTCATATACAGTTACTTTTTTTTTTTATGAAAGATAGAGAATAAGTGTGGGAAGGGGCAGCTAGCACCGGCAACCCTCTGGGTGCTCCTTAAGAGTTCCACACGCGTGATCGCAATACAAAATTTGACCTACAACTACAACTTATTTTCAGCGAGCCCGTCACCGCCGCACCACCAAACGTAAGTAGAAGCAAAGCCAGAGAGAACCCTACACCTAGCACCCAAGCCAAACCTTTGCTTCAGACAAATTAGGATTGCTTGAAATAGAGGGGCGACCAATGCATTCGAACTTCTGAGGAAGGGGGGTTCTAAGCCACTTGAGAATGCCTGACCCACATGTGAGAAAGCCTGACCGACTTGGCCAACCACCTCGGTGGTTATTGGTTATTTATGGGGCAGTTTATAACAAAATACTTATAAAAGTGATAAAATAAAAAATGTCAGCAGATGCATTATTTGATCTTCAACACTCAAAAAGTATTTCTACCAGATCCACACTTACTATCGAGTTAATATTACGTTCATAATTTCTTAGATCAACATGATGCACCCTTGATTGATTGTGTTATATGAAACACCATGCTAAAAAATACAAACAGGATTCTCGACCTTGCATTTTAGAGTCTCAATGGCATCACAACAAAAATTTTCCAAATGACAGCCTTTTTGACAGCTATTCTTGCAAAGATGCTATACAATTTCACTGGCACTCCCTAGCTCAACAAAATATCAAGTTCTGCTAAATCTGCACTTAACATTTCTGGGCCTAATGGCGTTACACAGGGCTATCAAATCAAAGATCATTTCAGTAAGAACACAGAAGTCACAATTAGATTTTGGCTAACCAGAAAAATGCATCCAACATCTCAACAGTTCGCAAATCACACAACACAACAAAAGTTTGATTGCGATGGCTTATAGAAGTGGGGATCATATGAGAACATCACAAACATGGCATGTCAGCATGTATAGCAGAAACAGAAGCAAAGAGTCACAAGGATAGTAAGACTTACTAAACCAGTATGACCGAGACGACCACATTTGTAACAGGAAACTTCACAAGGATCAGTATTAATAGAATCCACACAGCATAAATGGCCAAACTCCTTGCAGATGTAACACTGAATCTCCTGTTTAAGTGAATTAAACATGAAAAAGCAACTTAAAGAACCAATTAAAACTCTCAAAAACCATGTATATGTGCAAAAGATTCTGTGCGAGATAAAACAAAAACTCTGGCATCATTTAGAGAGAGACCTTAAGATCATTAGCAGAATAGCTATTCCCACAAGAGAACATATCGTGCCCTGAATGTCCACATCTCAAGCATATTTTAGTATTTTGAAAGCCAGCCCTCTGCTTCTCTGGACAATCCTTTGCGCGATGACCACTTTTTTTGCAAGTAAAGCAATCTTGTGCCTACCAAAAAAGACAATTGCCAAATGATTCATACACAAGACAAAAATAAAAACACTTTCAGATTAGAGATGCGGAGTATTAAGATAAAGACAGGTGCTGACGCATGATAAATTGCGAGTCATATGCAAATAGAACAACTTAATCAAAATTATTTATCACAGTAAATCTAGTTTAAGATACTAACATACTTCCAAATACATAAAATAGCGCAATGTTATGAAAAAGAATAAATATAATAGACTACAGTTTGTGTAAGATTTACTTGACATTATAATCTAAAACAAATCAGAAAACAGAACATATAATCGTAGGGAGAAATTCATATTAACACAAACCTTTGTGCATTGTTTAGCATTGTGTTCTAAACTCCCACACACGAAGCATGGTCTCCTTCGCTTTTGGGATGTACAATTAACTGCTGTGTGACCTTCGGCACCACAGTTGAAGCAAGTTCCCCAGCTACTGTCCGGAGGGTCAAAGTACCTCGGGCCGCGCTGATGGAAAACATATAAGACAGATAATTAGAGAACCTCCATACGGAACTCGTGTCGCATTAAAACATCAGTCCAAGAGCAAATATTTGGACTCACGAGAAGTTTTCGCAGGACGATATTATCTGCTATCTCAGCCTTCTTTGGATCCACTGATTCCAGAACCTCTGTCACGTTAACAACCTCCTCCTTCTCTTCCTCATCTACCTCAATAACCTGGTAAAGAAAATAAAAAGTCCACCATACTCACTACTCTGTGCACAGTATCCCCTTATGCGTTCATGGCATTGAGGCACAGATACTGTAAATTTCAATAAATACCAAGTAGATAAATTGCTGGGATATTCCATAAATCTGTCACATTTAAACTTTCGCAAACCAGCTTAACGAGAAAGACTGAAAGTACGGAACAATTAAAGAGCTTTCTCTGGATTGACAGAACTTCTCAATGCCCCGACAACTCCCTATTAGAAGCTAGTACCAAGCAGGAACTAAAAAAAACGAAAAAACAGAACTCACAGTTGTCTCTCGGCCGTTGCTCTTCTTCTTCTTCCGCTCCTTCTTCCGCACCTTCTCCTCCCTGATCACATCGTTCTTCTGCAATACGACGACGCTGCCACCAGCTTGATCGTCGTCTTCCTCCGACGCGATGACGCTCGGCGGAGTGGAAGCGAGCTTCGCGGCGCGCGCCGAGAGCGCTTTCTCGACGATTCTCAGGCTCAGATCTTCGTTCGCTTCCTCCTCGTCGTCGTCGCTGCTGCCGAGCGGCGCCGCCGACTTCGACTCGTGTTCTCCGTCGTCTCCTTCGTCGAGCTTCGCCGCCGGCTTCTCTCTCCTCCCCATGTTTCCGGCGCACGATCAGGAAGCCCCAATCTTGACCTAAGCCTAGTGGAGAGAGAGAGAGAAAGCGCCGGTGATGGCGACTGTGAAAGAGCAAGAATTGCAAAATTAGGGTTTTGGCGCTCGGTGGCAGAGCGCCGATGGTTTTCGTTTATTTTTAATGCAGAATTGTAAATTATAGTTTTCACCCCCAAAACTTTTAAGTTATTCGACCTGGCCCCTATTGTATATACACTCCGACCAAAAAAAATTGTACATACCCCCATGGTTTTAACAAGGTGCTTTTTGTCTGACCAAAAAACAGAACAAGGTGCTTTTTGTGCCTTGCATCAATTGACATAATGAAGTCACTAGACAAATCAAATCGTATGTTCTTACTTATTGTGATTTTCACATATACAAAATGAGATCAATTGAGTATAAATAATGACAAAGAAAACTTCTCTTTAAAATCATTTTAAGGAGGTGGGTTGGTTGGAGTGCTTGAAAGCCGACTCAAACATCACTTGAAAAGGAACAAATCCCCCTTCTTTGACCCCATATGACTTTGATATAACTGTGTCTATCGTATTGTGAAATGTTGCAATTTATATGTACAACACCCTAAAATCAGGAAAAGCCGCTTTCTAAAAATTGTTATAAGTGGACTTAAAATTGTTGTGACAAGCGAAGTGTCTATCAAACACTTTTAAAAGCCGAGGCGCCCTTTTTCGTGGTTGAAGATGCGGCACGACAATTTTACCTATAAGTCTCCGGTGGTTATTATAGCAAAACAAGTTAAAAAAATGTTATCAAATTTCAATTGCCCCAAGGAACGCACGAGAGAAAAATATTGAGATCTTTTAAGCTCCGTTCGTTTAGCGAAAAATATTCTCCTTTTGGAAAATATTCTCCCGGAAGTCATTTTCCTGGAAAATATTTTCCCGGAACATAATTTTCCGGTGTTCGGCGATCAATATGAAAAAGTTTCGGAAAATATTTGTTGCCAGATCCGGCGAGGGCCACCCTCGCCTGACGCCGGATCTGGCGAGGCTGCCCTCGCCCGACTCAGGCGAGGGCTGCCCTCGCCCGACGCCGGCAACTGCAGCCCTTGCCCGACGCTGGCGACTGCAGCCCTCGCCCGACGCCAGCGAAGGCAGACCTCGCCGGCTTCCCTCCTCTATGGCCGACGGAGGGAAGAGAGAAGAAAAAAAAAGGAAAAAAAACATAAAAAGGAAAAAGACGAAAATGTCCATGGGCCAAAGTATTGTGGGGTAAATGTATCACAAGTAGCATAGTTTGGGATTTTTCGTGTCACAAAAAAAAATTCAGACTAAATTTGTCACAAATGGGTAAATTTGTCGCAAGTGACGTAGCTAGAGGATTTTTGTGGTATTTTCCCTATTTAAAAATGCTAAATTGTTGAGATGATTTTTCTCCTTTTTTCTTCTTTTTGCGTTTCCTTCATTTTCCTTCCGGTTCTATAATCATCATAACACGAATACCCCGCCGTTCAGTTCATCTTCCTCGCCGTTACACCACCAAACCTTCGCCTTTACAGTGCCTTCGCCGTCTCCATCGAAGCCACACCCTCTCTTTCTCTATGACCGTCTGATCAAACATATACAGGTCGTCTCCCTCGAGCGACCTCGTATTGGTGGAAAGCATCCTTTTAGGTCGAGAGAGAGACATTAGAAGCTTGTGATCTAGACTTTAGAATGTGATTGGATTACGTGAACCTCAACCATTATCGTCGCACAAACCGACGTGTCATTCTATCAAAAGAGATATATATTAAATATGTCAATCTATACCTTAAATTGGACAGGTTCTATCCTTAAGACACTGATTAAGCCAATGTACTGGGAAAATATAAAGACAATTTTCAACACGTTTCGATGTCTTTCTACATTGAAATTACTGTGCTATACTTATTTTCGATGTTTCAGAACATAAACTCATCATATGCCCTTACCAAAAAAAAATTTACCTTACCAAAAAAAAACTCATCATATGCCGTCGACCCAATTAGTACCTTAGTAAATGAAACAGTAATTCACCACCACCTCATAGGAAAGAGCACCATCTCCATAAAATCCGATTGTAGAATTAATGCATGCATGGACTGTAACAGATACTTTGCAGCTTGCTGAGTGCTTTCACATCCATCACAACTCAAGTATGAATAATGTTCAACACAAGCTTCATTTTCGGGAGTTCTTTATATCCTTATAAGAAAAGAAAATCCATAAGAAATTATCATAGTTAGAACGAAAATCAGCATCAGGGGGCCATGGCAACCAGACCTCAGACCACAGTAACAAGTCTACAAGGAGATAGACAACATAAACACAGATGATATATGGTATGCCTGATGATGGAACTGGGCTTTTTTGACAGGTATATAACGATGGAGAAAGAAATTTGATATTACAACCTGTACACTGTCCAATGGAGAACCAGATATGCGCACACATGCTCTTCGAATTTCTCTGGCTTGAACCAACTGATGTTTGTAAAGCAGGTCTGATAGCAGAAGTATATGTCTGAAAGAGAAGATGCATGGAGCATGAAGGAGTGTACCGTCGACGCATATCATCGAAAAGATTTTGCAACATTTACTCTGTAACTTCATACCAAGAATGAGTTCCAAAAGTTGACTAAAGGTGGTCTCATATGAAGACAGTTTGTTCAGTTCTGATATGGACAAGCAATCCAGAGAAACCGAGAGGCCTGTTTGGCAGCAAAGTTTCTGCTGCTGGCAAAATCTTTGATCGACAATTCTCACACCGGTTGCTTCAGAAATGTAAAACAGACTCCAGAATTGTACAGCACAGATACATCAAGAAAATTTTGCAACTATAAGAGAAACATATATGCCAAGCCTAATGCAATCAAATGCAACACTCAAAGATATAGCCCTTAGATAAACATCAAGATGTAAGAACTATGTGGGTGCACTACAATGTTTAATTAGTGATACATATGCTTCCAAGCTGTCATATTAACAAAATTATATCCATAAAATAAGAAATCATTGACTGCTCTCTTTTGCAATGCTCATCATCAATGACCACAGATCCGAAAAGCCAGAGGAAAGACGTGGCTCAGAACATAAAAGAGTGGAGATTTTTGCTTGTTGAGACGAACGAGTCAAAATTGAAAACCGTCCGTGAACTTGGGCAAAATATGAGAAATTTGGGGACAATGTACTTGTAAGCCCATGAGAGTAGTAGCTAGAGATATATTTTTAAACTTTCTTAGTCCCCCATCCCATATATTTCAAAATTCCAAAAGAATCATTCAACAAAGTTTGACGAGCAACTTTTGCTACGAACCCCAACTTACATTGTTCAACATTTTGGAGCTTCATGAATGTCACATCAAAACACAAGATAGATTTAGTCCTCTGGGTGCTCTCATGTGGGCACCAGATGTGAGGATAAAAAAATAATAAAAACAGTAATCAGGAGTCCATGCATCTTTTATCAAGCACAGATTATGGAAGTGCCCAAAAAATGAACTGCACATGCATTTACTCGCTTCAAACATATCTTAGAAACATTTCCAGGAGGGGGGGAAAAGCCATATGGGAGACGTATGCGTCTAAGCACAATAAGTGAAACTCAGACTTCCATTTCAGAGCAGGGGAGCAAGAGATTAAGCACTTCACTAGATTGATATAAGAAAATAGACAGTTTCGAGGCACTTTGTCAGGAATTAACAGTAGTCAACAAATGCAACCATCATCATGTTTAAGCTATGAAGGGGTGGTGTTCGAAAAAAATGAATTGCATTTAGGAGGCGAAATGGTATTAGACTTTACAAACTTCATTCATTTACCAGCTCTCCCTCACGGCAGATTCTCATGGGCCAAAAGAAGAGTGACAGAGAAGAATGTCCTGGTAAAATCTTTTTAATAAATAAGGGAACTGAAACAAGAGAAAAAATAAAATGTCTAATTACACCTTATAGACGTCTAGAATATCCAGAACCCCCACACTTCTTGCAGAAAATCAATCCTACAAAGCACAATACACGAGGCATTAGAAGGAAAATACAGACATAAGAGCAACGGCAATATAGTTAAAATAAGACCTTTCTCAGGCTACAGCCTAGCTAAAAGGTCTACCGGTAAATTTGGCCTATGGCATATGCAAAAGCGTGATTTTTTTTATTTATTTTGAATCAACACATATATGTTTAGTGCTTACAAAGAAGCATGTGCTTATGTAGAATCCAGAAGGCATAGACACAATTTGACTTAATTTCTTTTCTTCGGTCAGAAGACATCATTAAGTTGGAAAGGACTTAGATAATCATCGAAAAAAAAAAGGACTGATGAAATCATTCATCGTATCACCGTTTAGAGCAGGCATATAAGATGTCAATCAGCTCAAACAACATGCTCAGACACGCATATGATCTCGACTAAGAATGCTTTAGTTATAACGATACCTGCTCCCTTGCATACTTTGCAGTCAACCCAGCCTGTTTCCTGCTTCATCTTTCCATCCTCGCAGAAAACACATTTTGTGCCACCTGCACATATCAGCTAACATAGATCATTTCAACCCTTTTTCCTCCACAACTCAACAAACTAAAGCTTCTTCGTAGCTTCCCGATATATACAACGCCTAAAACCTCAAATTTACACAGGTATAACCAAGCACCAAATAGCAGAAAGAAGATCATTGCCTCCCCTGCCATTTGCTTTAGGTATGTCGAGGCGCCATTTCGGTACTTCTCAACCATATCGCAGACACACGTCCATAGGGCAAGTGCAAAGCAATGGAATCGAAAGTGTCGACCATTTCCTAATCTGTAGATACTAGTGCTTTCAACATCAGGCATTACCGGGGGGAAAAAAAGCAATAGAAGGTTTGATTAACTTAGGAAATCAATGAATCTCCTGCAAACCAGGCACATATAGAGAGAGAGAGAGAGAGAGTACCATTGCCAGCGCATCGGTCGCAAGGCACAGGATCGCCCTGCAACATCATCGTCATCATCAAAACGGTTTCAACGCAATCCATTAAAACCCCAACGCGCTCCAAAAATCAACCACGACAGGCCACGCCACGCCACCTTACCTTGAGACCGAGGAACAGAGAGAGAGCAATGGCGGCCAGCACACTCGCGGTGGCGAGCACGGTCTGCGTGTCCAGCGTCCGGTCGAACCCGCCGAACAGCAGGAGAGGGTGGACGAGCAGGTCGCCCGCCGAGTGGAGCGGCCTGAGCTCGGAGCGGCAGGAGCCGATGAGCGCGGGGACCAGCGGCGAGTGCTGGTGGAGGTTGCGCACCGCGGCGTCGCAGCAGGCGCAGAGGGACGGCGGCGCGTGGCCCGGCGAGGAGGGCGAAGGGAGGGAGAGGGAGGAGAGAGAGTGGAGGGAGTGGGAATGGAGCGCGGTCGCAGCGGCCATGGATAGGAGGGAGGGAGGAAACTTGTGGAGGAGCTCGCGGAGGTTCGTTTTCTTCTCTTCCTTTTTTTTTTTTGGGGTTTTTTTTTTCGTTTTCTTCTTTTTTTTCAGCTTTTTATTTCTTTTCTCGCGGAATATAGCGAGTTTTTCCTTGAATGCATATACCATGCTGCCCCTGTTATTTTCGTGGGAAGATTGAGAGAAAATGGATAAAGGAATTTAAAAAGCTAATTAGCTCCTTTTGGAAAATTACAAAATTTGGTCAAGATTCCTCAATGAAATAATCCTATTCTAAAAGCTAAATATTTTGGGGCTAATGATTGTGTGCTACATTCCAAGCTTGTCAGTCTCGATCTCGATTTCGAATTGCCATTTTATCACGTGTGTAATGAGTTTCGATAATTATATCCTAGAAACGTGCCGTATCGATAGTTTCATACTTAAGACTTTTGCTGTCAGATTGGCCTTTTTTGTTAACGGAATGTTGCAGAGTAAAACATGCTTAATTTCTTACCATGTTAGTTTAGACTTTCAAAATTAAGAAGTCAACAAAAAATGAAAAGCAATGTTACATAACAAAAACTTGTTTGTGACTGGGGAATTTGCATGGTGTGCTATCTTCAGAGATAAATGATTCCATAACACCGAGTGTGGTAATCCAGCACAAATGATTCTCCCCTCATGTTATCGCTTGTTCGCTTCAAATAAGACCGTCGAAGAATCTACAATCCACCATCCATACGAATGAATAGTTTTAAAGTATCCTAATTTTGTCCATTACATTCCATCACTTACATTTTCTAGTCTGTATCTATAAATAATTAGTTGGGAATGAATTATCAGTGTCGACTAAATCTGTCAAAATGGGTTATGGACCCATTATTGACCCATATTTGATAGGCCCATCATTATATAAGTTATTTATATTAAGTAAATGGGTCATAAATTAGTTTATAATAGTAAAACCTAAAATAATATAGATGTTAAATGGGTTCATAGCTTACTTATACCGAACACACCTCTATAACTCTCTTTGGCCCTCATTCGATCTTACGCTAGCTCACTTTGCGCTCTCGTATTAATTCGAGTATGAATTTTTCTATATTGGGTTAAGTATAGAAATATGAGTTGAATTGGATATGAATTATTATATCTGAATTGCATGGAAATTGGTCATTTCGAGTAGAACTAGTTTCGACCCAACCCGACCCGATCAGACCAACATGTTTGATGAGTCTCGGGTCAACAATGCCACAAAGGGTTATGATTGGTCGTAACTACAAACATGTTTTCTATGTTTTGATTTGGATTAATATCACGAAAAATCTCAAACTGGTACACATTAGTCAAATTTACTCAAAACTAGCTTTTTAACCATAAACAATCCCAAATTGGTACTCCCGTGACAAATTTACCTTTCATTAATTTCGATTAAATTTTACTGTCAAATTACTGAGCTGGATGACACGTGGCGGATATAACAGTTTGGGCCGTATCGAGGATTTCATACTTAAGACTTTTGCTATCAAATTGGCCTTTTTCTTTAACGGAATGTTGCACAGTAAAACATGCTCAATTTCTTACCATGATAGTTTAGACTTTCAAAATTAAGAAGTCAACAAAAAAATGAAAAGCAATGTTACATAACAAAAGCGTGTTTGTGACTGGGGAATTTGCATGATGTGATATCTTCAGAGATAAGTGATTCCATAACATCGAGTGTTGTGATCCAGCACAAATGATTCTCCCCCCATGTCGTCGCTTATTCGCTTCAAATAAGACCGTTGAAGAATCTACAATCCACCATCCATACGAATGAATAGTTTTAAAGTATCCTAATTTTGTCTATTACATTCCATCACTTACATTTCTAGTCAGTATCTATAAATAATTAGCTGCGAATGAATTATCAGTGTCGACTAAATCTGTCAAAATGGGTTATGAACCCATTATTGACCCATATTTGGTGGGCCCATTATTATATAAATAATTTATATTAAGTAAATGGGTCATAAATTAGTTTAGAATAGTAAAACCTAAAATAATATAGATGTTAAATGGATTCACAGCTTACTTATACCTAACCCACCTCTATGACTCTCTTTGGCCCTCATTCGATCTGACGCTAGCTCACTTTGCGCTTTCGTGTTAGTTCGAGTATGAGTTTTTCTATATTGGGTTAAGTATGGAAATATGAATTGAATTGGATATGAATTATTATATTTGTATTGCATGTAAATTGATCATTTCGAGTAGAACCAGTTTCGACCCAACCCGACCCGATCAGACCAACCTGTTTGATGAGTCTCGGGTCAACAATGCCACAAAGGGTTATGATTGGACGCAACTACAAACATGTTTTCTATGTTTTGATTTGGATTAATACCACGAAAAACCTTAAACTGGTACACATGAGTCAAATTTACTCAAAACTAATTTTTTAACCATAAACAATCCCAAATTGGTACTTCCGTGATAAATTTACCCTCCATTAATTTCAGTTAAATTTTACTGTCAAATTGCTAAGTTGGATGACACATGGCCAATGTAACAGTTTGGGCCGTATCGAGGATTTCATACTTAAGACTTTTGCTGTCAGATTGGCCTTTTTCGTTAACGGAATGTTGCACAGTAAAACATGCTCAATTTCTTACCATGATAATTTAAACTTTTTTTTTTTTGGGTGTGAATGTAAGTATTATAAACCAGATGAAGTACAGCAGCTTAGGGGCATCCCCCAGCAATACAAAAAAGAGCTAATGATTCAAAAAGATGGAGGTAGGAAGTCTCCATATAGTAGCTAATACAACATTTGTCTGGGAAGGTCTAATTTTTTGGTAGAGCGAAGCTCTACCTCTGACATTTTTACGAACCTTAGCCAAAATAATATGAAAGTCAGTTGACTTGTTTTGAAACCGTCTGCTGTTGCGCTCCATCCAAATGCAATATATGGTTGCTAGAAAGGACAACTTGAGAAGTCTTGCTGCCAAGTCTTTGCCTTTTGTTGCCCTAATCATCCATTGGAGTTCTTCATTCCATCCTCCTAAAAGGCGCCTGATCCCATGTTGTGCTAGGATACAACGCCATATGTTGTTTGTCCATTCACACTCGAAGAATAAATGTGTTCGTCTTCAATACCAGCCCTACAAAAATTACACTGAATATCAACTAAAGGTATCCATTGTGCGACGATTCTTGCTGTAGGTAGTCTATCTCTCGCAAACTAGCCAACCAATAAAATTGTGTTTGCTAATGCCATGGTCCAAATTAGGTTATACCACTCCACAATTGGTCTCACATGTCCGAGTTCATCATATATATCTTGGCAAATGTATTTTGGGCTCGGTATAATCGATGTTAGAACGGGTCGTAGTTTGAGGAGACATCTCCAGCTCCAAGCCATACTGCCCTTGATGTCGAGCTGCATAATTGGGGTGCCTCTGCATTTGGTGTTGTGGACCCAAGTACTCCAAAGGGAGGAGGATGGAAGATTGATAAGATTCCACAGCATGCGACCTAGCAATACTTTGTTCCATAAGTTCAAATTAGGCAATCCTAATCCACCTTCCCTTTTAGGTGAGCATACTACTTGCCATGCAACCTTGTGCGAGCCATGATTTGCTGAATTACCAGCCCATAAGAATTGTCTAATCCTCTTCTCAACCTCGTATATAGTGTGCTTTGGAAGTAGGAACATTTGCATCCAATAGGTGAATATGGAGATGAGGACTGATTTGGCTAACTGTAGACGTCCTGCATAACTGATATGCTTCATGCCCCAATTTTCAATTTTCTTGAAGATCTTATCAGTAAGACTCTTACAGTCTGTGTGGGTAAGTCTTCTGGTAACAAGGGGGATACCCAAGTATCTGATGGGGAGGGTACCTGTAGAAAAAGGCGTGTGGTCCAGTATAAGTTGCTTCTCATCCTCATTCAACCCAGAGAAAAAGATTTGACATTTGTCCGGGTTGAAACGCAATCCTGTGAGAGTTGCAAATTCGTTTAGGGCGTCTACAAGGCAAAGGACGGAATCTACATCTCCATGGGAAAATAATAACAAGTCGTCTGCGAAGCATACGTGTGTGATTCGTTGCGTTTTGCAACGCCAGTGATACTTGAAAGAAGAAGCAGCAACTTTCGCACGGACAATTCTGTTAAAGATTTCCATAACCATTGCAAAAAGGTATGGAGAAAGTGGATCTCCTTGTTGCAACCCATTCGTACTCTTGAAATAGCCAACCTGCTCTCCATTGAAGTTCACTGAAAATGTCGGCGTAGTAATGCATTCAGCTATCAGAGCAAGCCAGTCATGAGGAGTATTTATAGCTTTGAGAACCCCGAGGACTGCATCCCATTTTACCATGTCAAAGGCTTTCATGAGGTCAATCTTTATTGCCACTCGTTTACCATTTCCTCCCTTGTGGTAGTTGTGTAGAAGGTCTTGGCATAGCAGTATATTCTCCGAGATCTGTCGTCCGCTGATGAAAGCAGTTTGGTTGAGGCCGACAATCTTCGGAAGCATGCAACTAATCCGTTCTGCAAGAAGCTTAGATATGATCTTGTATATGACATTGCAGCAAGAAATGGGTCTGAATTCCTTGAGGAAAGATGGATTCTGAACCTTCGGTACGAGTGTAATCAACGTGGAATTTATAGACTTCAGCATTCTTTTTGACGAGAAGAATTCCATGATAGCTTCCTCAATGTCTTTCCCTATGATGTGCCAAGTGCTTTTGTAGAATAGACTATTAAAGCCATCTGGACCCGGAGCTTTAAAGTCGCTGAAACCTTTTAAGACTCTGAGGATTTCTGATCTCTGAAGTACAGGAAAGGTAACAAGAGTATTGATATCTTCATGAAATAAAGAAACATATCTCTCATATGGAATGCTAGTAAGACTGGGATTTCCAAGGAGATGCTGATAATACGTTATAATTGCATTCTTGAGAGCACCCTCCTCGGTAATAGTAGAGCCATCCTCGAGTTTGATATGATTGATCCTGTTTTGGGCACTCCTCCGCATCATGGAGGCAAAGAAAACCTTACTATTATTGTCACCCTCCTTCTGCCATAGATTTCATGATAGTTTAAACTTTCAAAATTAAGAAGTCAACAAAAAATGAAAAGCAATGTTACATAACAAAAGCGTGTTTGTGACTGGGGAATTTGCGTGGTGTACTATCTTCAGAGATAAGTGATTCCATAACATCGAGTGTGGTAATCCAGCACAAATGATTCTCCCCCCATGTCATCGCTTATTCGCTTCAAATAAGACTGTTGAAGAATTTACAATCCACCATCCATACGAATGAATAGTTTTAAAGTATCCTAATTTTGTCTATTACATTCCATCACTTACATTTCTAGTCAGTATCTATAAATAATTAGCTGGGAATCAATTATCAGTGTCGACTAAATCTGTCAAAATGGGTTATGAACCCATTATTGACCCATATTTGGTGGGCCCATTATTATATAAATAATTTATATTAAGTAAATGGGTCATAAATTAGTTTAGAATAGTAAAACCTAAAATAATATAGATGTTAAATGGGTTCACAGCTTACTTATACCTAACCCACCTCTATGACTCTCTTTGGCCCTCATTCGATCTTACGCTAGCTCACTTTGCGCTCTCGTGTTAGTTCGAGTATGAGTTTTTCTATATTGGGTTAAGTATAGAAATATGAGTTGTATTGGATATGAATTATTATATTTGTATTGCATGGAAATTGGTTATTTCGAGTAGAACCAGTTTCGACCCAACCCGACCCGATCAAACCAACCTGTTTGATGAGTCTCGGGTCAACAATGCCACAAAGGGTTATGATTGGACGTAACTACAAACATGTTTTCTATGTTTTGATTTGTATTAATACCACGAAAAACCTTAAACCGGTACACATTAGTCAAATTTACTCAAAACTAATATTTTAACCATAAACAATCCCAAATTGGTACTCCCGTGACAAATTTGCCCTCTATTAATTTCGGTTAAATTTTACTGTCAAATTGCTGAGTTGGATGACACGTGGCGGATGTAATAGTTTGGGCCGTATCGAGGATTTCATACTTAAGACTTTTGCTGTCAGATTGGCCTTTTTCGTTAACGGAATGTTGCACAGTAAAACATGCTCAATTTCTTACCATGATAGTTTAGACTTTCAAAATTAGGAAGTCAACAAAAAATGAAAAGCAATGTCACATAACAAAAGCGAGTTTATGACTGGGGAATTTGCGTGGTGTGCAATCTTCAGAGATAAGTGATTCCATAATATCGAGTGTGGTAATCCAGCACAAATGATTCTCCCCTCATGTCATCACTTATTCGCTTCAAATAAGACCGTTGAAGAATCTACAATCCACCATCCATACGAAGGAATAGTTTTAAAGTATCCTAATTTTGTTTATTACATTCCATCACTTACATTTTCTAGTCAGTATCTATTAATAATTAGTTGGGAATGAATTATCAGTGTCGATTAAATCTGTCAAAATTGGTTATGAACCCATTATTGACCCATATTTGATAGGCCCATTATTATATAAATAATTTATATTAAGTAAATGGGTCATAAATTAGTTTATAATAGTAAAACCTAAAATAATATAGATGTTAAATGGGTTCACAGCTTACTTATACTTAACCCACCTCTATGATTCTCTTTGGCCCTCATTCGATCTTACGCTAGCTCACTTTGCGCTATCGTGTTAGTTCGAGTATGAGTTTTTCTATATTGAGTTAAGTATAGAAATATGAGTTGAATTAGATATGAATTATTATATTTGTATCCTTACCAAAAAAAAATTATTATATTTGTATCGCATGTAAATTGGTCATTTCGAGTAGAACCAGTTTCGACCCAATCCGACCCGATCAGACCAACCTGTTTGATGAGTCTCCGGTCAACAATGCCACAAAGAGTTATACCTTTTTGGGGTAAATTTATCACATGTGTATCAATTTGGGATTTTTAATGATAACCCCTTTGGTTTTTAGCAAAATCCATATAAAACGGTTTTACCCATAAAGGAAGGGAAACTGTAAATTACAAGGGTAATCCGGTAATTCGGGGAACAAAAGCAAGGCATATTCGAACCTTCCTCGCCTCTCCTTCCTTCCTGTCCGGGTCGGACCCATTTTCAGGCCCGGTAGGCGAGCTCCCAAAGCTGACTCCATTTTTGTATTCTACTTAAATAAAAACACCGGCGACCAGAATTCGATCCCCGATCTCCGAAGCTTCCTCCGCCGACCGGTCGCTCGCCAATTCCCGATCTGCGGCACACACATATATAAATATATACGAATTCGCTCTTCGCCGTTCGCTGCATCTTTCTCCGCCCTCCTTTGACCTTTCTCTCTCTTTGGAGCTATTGGAATAAACCCTAACCGTCGGGAATCCGATCGTCCCCCCGGAGCCTCGTCGATCCGCCGGTGAGTTTTCTCCTGCTCCGGTCGCGCCGGGATGTTCAACGGAATGATGGATCCCGAGCTCTTCAAGCTCGCCCAGGAGCAGATGAGCCGCATGTCGCCGGCCGAGCTGGCCAAGATCCAGCAGCAGGTTTGACGCCTCCTCCTCCTCCTCTTCCTTCTCTTTTGAGCCGCGGATGCCATGCCCTTTTCTGTGTTCGATTCTGTGGTGAGTTGCCTGAATTTTGCCCTTGCGCCTGGCCCTGGGGTTTCGATCGTGGCTGTTTGTTTGTGTTGGAGCTCCTGATCGCGCTCCCGTGTGCTGTGGTTCCGTTGGGGATGGGTACCTAGATAATGCCTGCCGAAGGAAGCTCGTTTAGTTTAGGTCGCAGCTGAATCGACGGAGCAACGCGCTTGAAAAATCAAATGCAGTTGTTTTTATACTACTTCAATATCAGCTTTTTGAGAGAAAAGGAATTGCATCCGGGTTCGAGCAGCGTAATTAAGCTTTTCTGCAACCTGTCCTAAAGACAGGGATGATTTTAGTTTTGATTTGCTCGATCATTTCTCCATGTCGGAAAATAAATGTTTATGACAAAGTTCATCAATTATACATAAGATAATACTGCCGGGTTAAATGTGAAGTGGCTCTTGCTCGATTTCCACGTATTATTTCTTCAGGGTGGGGGGATTTTTTTCTTTTTTTTTGTTGGGGGGGGAGATGGGACGATTAAGCATTTGCAACATATCCTAAGGGTGGAATAGTGAAGTTTGATCTGCTTATCCTAAGCATTTGCCTAAGCATTTGCCCCTTCATTGAAGAAAGTTTTCAGAGTAATTCATATCTCGGGACTTGTTTTAAAATGATATGATGCGGTAGCATAAATTATTCTGTTGGACTCTTTGACTGGTTTCGCTTACTTGGCCCCTGTTGCATCTCTTTGTTTCCAGTTCCAACTGATTGATCTTTGCAAATTATTCACGATGTGATGAATCATTTACTGCAGATGATGTCTAATCCTGAATTGATGAGAATGGCCTCTGAGAGCATGAAGAATATGAGGCCTGAAGATTTACGACAAGCGGCAGAACAATTAAAGCATGTTCGTCCAGAGGAGATGGCTGAGATTGGTGAGAAGATGGCTAATGCTAGCCCTGAGGAGATTGCAGCTGTACGTGCTCGTGCTGATGCCCAGATGACTTATGAGATAAATGCAGCTCAAGTGCTCAAGAAAGAGGTACGAGGTAACCTGTCAACCGTTTGATGTCAGCATCTGTTATTGCTGAATATTAGACGCTTAAAGTCTTTGCTTGTGATGATGATCAAGGGATTTTCTCAAAAGCTGCTCTTTCATTGGATAAAAGAAAGGAATTTGGATATGATGTACAGTGCGAAGCACTAGTCTTGGAGCTTAAATTTGTCATAGCGAGGCTTTTTTAATTTTTCACAGGGATGTTCTCTTTGGAGAAATATTAAAGAGGAACTACATCTAGAGCGTAGGCATATTTGCCATAACAGATACATGCCATTTTAGTTTGCTAGATGATATCTAATTTCTTCTATTTGGGAATTTCAATTTGCTTGTTCAGAAGTTTTTACTTCCAAGAAATTTTGACTACAATAAAGTCGATTTAGAAGGTCTGTTTTTGGAACATAGCAGATGTGAAGGTAATAGATGCTTGCTATGCTGCTTTAACTAATCATGTACACCGTACTCTTGCTATGCTATGCATGACACGTTGATCTAATTCAATGTGGCAGGGGAATGAACTTCACAGCCAGGGGAGGTTTAAGGATGCCTCGCAGAAGTATTTGCTTGTAAGTTATTTCTTCTGCTTGTTCATACTTTAGATTTCTGTCATGGGCTATTTTTCCGTGGGCTGGGGAATTCTTACTGATCTTTGTCCGTAATCAAAATATAGGCCAAGAATAACTTAAAAGGAATTCCGTCGTCCAAAGGCAAGACTCTTTTATTGGCATGCTCCCTTAACTTGATGTCATGCTACTTGAAAACGAGGCAGTACGAGGAATGCATAAAGGAAGGCTCTGAGGTATGGTATTCATATCCTCTCTTACCCTGACTAATATATTATGTGGTAATGGTAGTGTATTTGCAAATACATCTCATCATATTGACTGGTAAAGTAGAATTTGCTGGTAAGTAGGGTGAGATATATTTGGAAAACAATCATGAAATGCATACGCAACAGCACTTATCCAAGAATAGTGTCACTTTCTCTCTCTTTATCGACACAACTTCTTTCTGCTGACCTGCTTACCAATATAAGTTCTTTTTCTCTGACCAAGTGACTTCTGCTATATCAGGTTTTGGCACATGATGCCAAAAATGTCAAAGCTTTCTACAGGAGGGGCCAAGCATATAGGGAATTAGGTCAATTGAAGGTGAGTATAATTGTATTCTTTTATGGATTTTGCGGGGGTTTGTAGTTTCCCTTGCTGGTACTCTACTGGCGATGCTCTTATATCCTTTTTGCATCTGTGTTCTGTCGGTATTCTGAGTTTTCGAATCCTTCAGGATGCGATCTCTGACTTGAGAAAGGCACATGAAATTTCTCCTGATGATGAAACAATTGCGCAGGTTCTAAGGTACTGATCTATGTGTATGAAAGAGTTAATAAGAAATCGTGTAGCATGATCATCTTCTCCATTATTCTCCAGAAAAATGTGAACTCTCAATCTCTTTGGCCAGTTGTGTGCTTCAAATTTTCTTTCTTTCTTTTTTTTTTTTTTTTCAGTTTCTATCTCGTGTTAATGTGCTTCAGTAATTCAATGCATCCTTGAATGATTGAGATGCTGATTTCTCTGTGAGTGTCATCTCTGTTAGTATCATGCGAAGCTTTTATGTAACTAGGCTGTTTGTCCTGATGGTCCCTGCAGCGATGCTGAGGAAAGCTTGACCAAAGAAGGTGGTTCTGCACCAAGAGGTATGCTATCCATGTTTAGTTACTACTTTTGGTCCTTTCATTCCCTCTGTTTGTAAATTCTCCTGTTTTTAATCTTGAATTTGTGTTTTCTTTTACTTGTCAATCATCAATAGGGGTGGTAATTGAGGAAATAACTGAAGAAGATGAGACCGTGTCCTCTGCGAACCATGAAAGTTCATCAGAATATTCAGGGAAGCAGCATCAGGAATCGGAGGATGCCCGCAAGGTTCCAATTAATGGTGATAGTATGGGTCGAATGACCAATTCTGAAAGCTTGGAAGCTTTGAAAGGCGACCCAGATGCAATCAGGTATTCTTACACCATTCTACTCGAATTTTTTGAAATGGATGTATGTATAATTTCAAACTAGTCACAAATCACTAGACAAAGCTGTGAAAGTGATTCAAATAACTGAATGTCTGTTTATGGTGCAGAAATCATGACATCATAATATTAAGATGGATTCACTGACTTTGATTCTTATGATGTACTCAATAGGTCATTCCAGAATTTTATTTCTAATGCTGATCCCACAACTTTGGCTGCAATGGGTGCGGGAAATGCTGGAGAGGTATCCCCTGACATGATTAAGACTGCCTCTAGTATGATCGGCAAGATGTCACCAGAAGAACTCCAAAAGATGATTCAGTTGGCTTCGTCGTTTCCTGGGGAAAACCCTTTTGTCGCAAGAAACTCGGATAGTAATTCCAATAGCTTTGGACATGGATCAGTTCCTAATGTGTCGCCCGACATGTTAAAAACTGCGAGTGATATGATGGGTAAGATGTCACCCGATGATCTTCAGAGGATGTTTGAAATGGCATCTTCTTTGAGAGGGAAGGACCCTTCTTTGGATGCTAACCGTGCAAGTTCAAGCTCTGGGGCGAAATTGGCTGCCAATTTGAATCATATTTCGGGTGAAAGTGAAACGACTTCGTCTCATCCCATACCTTTGAGTTCAAGGAATGTTCCATCTTCTCCTCTGTCAAATTTCCCATCATCCCCAGGTGATATGCAAGAGCAGATAAGAAACCAATTGAAAGATCCAGCTATGAGGCAGATGTTTTCATCTATGATGAAGAATATGAATCCAGAGATGATGGCAAACATGGGCGAACAGTTTGGATTCAAGCTTTCTCCAGAAGATGCTGCAAAAGCCCAGCAAGCGATGTCTTCTTTATCCCCAGAGATGTTGGACAAGATGGTATTCTTCTGTCTGATATTCTTGCTCCTTGCAATTCACCGCATTCTTTACTTTTATATTGTGGCATAAAACCGGAATATATTGTGTGCCTTTGCACTATTTGAGAGTGAGAAATTGGTGGCTGAGAAGTACCTGGTCTGGCTTATCTATTCTGAGGCCTAGGAGGCTAACATTTCCCCTGCATCTTCGATTTGTTTTTTTTTTTTTTTGCCGGGTGCTGGTCAGTATTTTCAGTTGGCTTCTAGACTTATACCGGTGGTTTGGCTTTTCCCTGTTACCAAGGGCTTCGTTAGTATATAACGTCATATGTCATGTTCTCTCGACGGTCTCTTCGTCATTACACTTCGGTTGAACTTTTAAAATAATCAGCCTTTTTGTCCTAAATGTTGTTTCAGATGTGCTGGGCAGACAGGGTTCAAAGGGGAGTCGAGACGGCGAAGAAGACCAAGAACTGGTTGCTCGGGCGGCCCGGTATGATTTTGGCCATATGTATGCTCCTCTTGGCAGTGGTCCTCCACTGGCTGGGCTTTATCGGAAGTTAGAGTGGCGGAATTCCTTCACTCTTTTTAGTTTTACTTGACAAGTCAGCCGAAAAGCAGCAGTAGCGTCGGATTGGAACACAAGACGCGTCTTTGTCAATCCATCTTCAGAAGATTGATGTACTCCGGTATGATTTATGCTGACTGTCTGGAGTTTCTTTCCATTTAGTTGACGTAAAAGGGGATTGATTGATGTACTCCTTGTAGAGATAAAAATATGGCCCGAGTTGGAATCTCACAAGAGATTTCTAATCAAGAAATTCCATTACTTGTTTCTTTATCCCGTCGTCCCAAGGTCATTGCCTGTTGGGTCGAAACGGCGACGCATTGCTCTTCTTTTAGGCTCTCCCCCTCTCTCTCTCTCTCTCTCCCTGACGCGCGCGCGTGCAAACCGCGCGTAAAAACTCCACGCGAAATCGTTTCTGCCGCGGTCAAAGCGTTGACAAAATGGCAGCTACGGACGTTCGATCCCGGTAAATTCCAGCATTTTTTTATTATTATTTTGACACGATGTTTTTTTTTTGGTCAGAATTTTGGCACGATGTTATTTTGGCGTTTTACCTAATTCCCTGAGGTATTTCAAAAGCAAATATTGACGCGTAGGATCATGTTGATCTTCTAAAGTCTAGAATTTTTTCTTTTCTTCCTTCTTTGGAACTCGAATTGAAGATGTGTGCAGGGAAAATTATCCAAAAAGCCGTAAATCTATTGCAATTTCAGTCAATTAAGTTTTAAACCTTTTCATTTTTTGCTAATTGAGTCCATTCGATAAATTTTGATCGGAAATGACTGACGTAAGACGGCTGAAAATTGCTGATGTAGGAGGGCAGCGAACCCTTGTCAGCCATTGGCAATAAGTTTATGACTCAATTGGCATAATTAAAAGATTTATAATCGACTTGGCAAAAATACAATAGATTTAAGGCTTTTGGATTGTTTTTTTCCCAATATCCTTGTTAAGCCTCATTGAATATGCTTTGAAAATATAAAATTATTTATTTAAGCATCTACAAAAATTGGCCGATTAACTTAATAGTGCCCTGTCAATAGTCATGCAATCTTGCTGGTAAAGGAATTTGGGGATGGGGACGCTAATATCACAGGTGCAGGATTTCGACTCTCGCGTTCTACAAGAGGCAGAGCAAAAGTCAGAGATCGAGGGGAGTTAAAGATACGACAGACTAAAATAAAAAACTCCTCGATAGTGCCCCCGGGTCACTTATAGAAAAAAAAAATCACTCATTTGGAAAACGATGTAATGATAGACGTGGGTGGGGCATCAGCCGGCTTCTCTTTGGGCTGGTGGGTTTCACGTCCTTCTCCTCTTTCCCCTTTTCTAGAAAAAAAAAAACCAAAAACGAAAAAGCAAGAACATATCTCGTTCGCCTGCACATTGCCGGACCAAAGTCAACCCAAAGAAACCAAAAAAAAAAAAAAACCAGAGGATTGCTCGCACGGCACGTCCACGACTTCGAAGCATCGTGGTACGATCGTCTCCCCCTTAGGCTTTAAGCTTCATAGGACAGCCTACACGGAGTCGTAGACACCAACAACGTGCAAACACCGACGCACAGCGACGGCGACAGCACCGAGAAATCTCGATTCACAACCTATCCTTAGATTCAGCCGATTCAATGTTAGACTCCTTCCTCCCTTCCTTCCTTCCTTCCTTCCCATTCCCCGCAATTAGGGCAAGCAATGAGAGTCAACAAACCATGGCCATGAGAAGAAATTACAATCCATGTCTTTTTCAAAGACCCGCTAAATGCCGGTCCCGGATACCCCGTTGATATCGCGACTCGTGGTTACCAATGAGTCATAGTCTATGGGAGAGCAACAACTCTCTTGTTCTTGCCGACGATATTGGTAAATAATTCTTCCTTTTCTTTCTCACTTTCGAGATGTTGCTCGAGACTCCCTGAGGACGAATCAGTCCTCACTTTAATTCTAATAGAGCACGTAAAAATAAATAGACAAAGATCCGGTCCGCACATGTAGAGACGCCCGGTCCTGGATTTGTTTCGAACCGAGCAAGTCTTCGCATGAACTTTAAATCGGGCCTTGGATTTTGACATGTTTGGGATTTACTTGAATCGAAAGAAGATTTCTCGTGCAGTATCTCAAATTCCAAATCACAAAAATAGTTCGATAAATGATGTTTTCCGAGACTTCATAATCTTTTATTCTGCCAATAGGTATGCGACCCTGCTGGTAAAGGGATTGGGAGTGGAGACGCTAATATCACAGGTGCGGAGTTTAACTCACGCGCTCTGTAAGAGGCAATGGACAAGCCGATAAATGAGAACAGTTAGAGATAAGGCAGATAAAAAAAAATCAAGTTTTCAAGAAATGATCGTGAGTCAAAATCTAAGCCGATCCGTTACATGTTCCGTTCGAGAAACTCTTACTTAAACATGATAGGATGGATGTGTGGCAAATTGCGCATACTTAACTACTTGAACGGGTCAAATTCGATAATTTCATATTTTGATCACGAGTTTAAAGTAGTTCTACCCCCGACGAGAGATAAAGAACAACCATTCCTCTCGCACTTTTGGGACTTCGTTATAGGGGTGAGCAACTTGGACCGCCCAAACCGGGACCGGACCGTACCGACGGGTTTAGTCCGGTTCTCGGGACTATCGGTCCGGTTCCCAGTTCTTAAAAGCGGAACCGGTTTTCGGGCGGTCCGGTTCCCGGTTCCAAGGAGGAACCGGACCGACTATTTAATATATATTTTTGTTATTTTTTTCTTTAAAAAAAATTAATAAAATGTGAACTAAACTTTAAGTAAACTTCATTATCATAAATTCACTGATAAAAATTAGTAAAATGTGAATTAAACCATAAGTGAACTTTATTGACATAAATTCATTGACAAAAATTAGTAAAATGTGAACCAAACCTTAAGTGTTTAACCAAAAAAAAAAAAACTAAACTCTAAGTGACCGGTTTCATTGGACCGGACTGGCGGTCCAATCCGGTTCTCGGTCCTAGAATCAACCGGTTTGGTCCGCGATTCCCAGTTCCACCTTGGAACCGGATCGGACCAGGAACCGATCGCCCCTACTTCGTTATGTGCCCGACGTGCATGTCGAGAAATCGAGAAATGGGCGTGGCATCACTACCGAGTCGAATCCGAACCATCGAAAATGATTCTTTTTCTTTTTTAACGTGGGTACCATCAAATCCGACGGCCGCGATTCATTTTACTATTTTAATTCCTCGAACACCTTTTCGCGTATGTGCGAGGCCGCGAAGCGGCTGACCGGCTTCTCGTGTTTTTATATAGCCTGTCTCTCTCCAAGTTGGAACACCTCTCTCTCTCTCTCTCTCTCTCTCTCTCTCTCTCTCTCTACCTGTTTCGTCATTTTTCTCGTCAATCCGTTACCTTCTCTCTTTCCCTTTCTTCGTCCCGCTTAAAGCTCCCTCCTTTTCGCGAACCCCGAAAGCGCCCACAACAGCGATCCCGAATGACCCGGCCGTCCCTCTTGGACCCGCCTGTCGCCAACCGGAGGCAACCGCTGCTCCCGGGCCTCCCGAGCGGGGAGGCGGACGAATCGACCGCCGCGGCGGCGGCGAGGCCGACGAGGGGGACGGGGCCGCGTGGCCGAGGCGGCGGGGTGGGCGGCCGCGGACTGTGTAGCGCTGTGCTGCTGCTGCCCGTGCACCATCGTGAACCTCCTCGCGCTGGCCGTCTACAGGGTCCCCGCGGGGCTCCTCCGCCGGGCGAGGCGGAGGCGGCAGCGCTCCGCGGCGGCGAGGCGGAAGAGGAAGGGGGGGCTCCTGGCCCAGAGGCCCAGCAGCTTCGAGGCCGCGGCGGAGGAGGACGGAGCAGAAGCGGGCGGCGGCGGCGGCGGCGGCGGCGGCGAGGAGGCGGCGGATGATCTGGAGAAGGAGATGTGGGACCGGTTCCACGGGGCCGGCTTCTGGAGGAGCCCCTCGACGAGGGACGCGTAAGCGGAGCCATTCGCGGGCATGGCTTGGGCCTAGATTGGGCCGGGCCGGAGGCCCGTCGTTCAGCCCAATGGGAGGCTGCCGCTGCTTCTTCTTCTTCTGCTTCTTGGAAGGGAGCTGTAAAAACACAAGAGGAGTGTGACGTTGTAAGAAAAATGAAACTTGCGGCATTACATTTTGACGAGGAATTTATTTTTTAATTATGTGCCTTTTTGCCTTTCTTTTGTCTTCAAGGTCACGAGACGAAAAAAATGAAAAAAAATAATAAAAAAGGAAGAAGAAATTACTAGGTGGATGCTATCCTCTCTCTTGTGTTGTGAAAACCAACTGAAAAAACAAGAATTCATCTCGAAGTTTCATCGGAAAATTTAATGAGGAGTCCATGCTTGTTGTCCCGAGGGCCTGACTTGGATCCTTGGTCGGTGGCTACACTAGTAACCCCATCGAATTAAGAGTTGTTTTCAACCAACTGGGCCTTCTGCTGTCTAGTGACGGGCTACCATGTTACATTATTTATTTTAATATATTGGTATTCGCACGCCCTACTTCTCCTAATCCTTTTGTATCTCTTTCTTTCCTAGAAAGTGGGAATAATCTTTTCATGTTTTACTTCCAAGGGACGACGAGATTCAAATGATGCCTTCGATGAAGTAATTTTTCCTCTTGCTTAGGAGGAAGATAAGTAATAATTATACATGTCCTAACAATGAGTAAAACAGCATCTTAAGTGGCAGCAACTAACTCTCTCATGTTACAAGGATTAGTTTAGGATTTTTCAGGGAATTTTTCGAGAGAGAGTTGAATGATTAATAATGGAAAGCAAAAGGAGAAAAAGTCAAAATTTCTGTTTTTGATTGTTAATTTGGATGAATAATTTTATTTTGGTGGGGGGGGGGGTCGGATTTTTGGATGTATATTAGAAGGTGATTTATTTGGAGGAAAAAGAAATTTATTAATTCGACCATTAGTAATTTCTCTAAAACTAAAGTAAGATTTTTCTGAAGAAAATTTAGTTTGTTCATACAAGTCATTCATATCATAGAGCCACGCTTAAATTGTTGAACTTAGGGGTGGACAAAAGAAACCGCCCAAACTGGTTGGTTCTGGCCGATTCCAGGAGCATTGGTCCGGTTCTTAGTTCCAATAAATTGGAACTAATTTTCGGTCTAGTAACTAGTTACCGTCCACTTAGATCACCTAGATTGGACCGATTTTTTTAAATATTTTTATTTCTTAAAAATATGTAAAAAACCATAATCTGTCTCCTATTTCAAACTTCACTCACGCATGTAGACACCCTACTCTTTCATACTTTCACGCCTCTTTCACATACCCTAATCGCTCTTTCCCTATGCTCGCTCGTCTCCCAATCGCTCTCTTCACTCGCTTGCTCGGCTTTTAGACGCCACTCTCTCACTTAAGTCATGTCTCTCTTGCTTGACACCTCCCTCAATCTCATCTTCAATCTCGACTCTCACTTCTCTTTTTTGCTCTATTTTTTACCGATCGTGATTGTAATCGCATCTCATTGAGGTAAATATCCAATGCTTTGATTGTTTTGCCATTCTTCGTACGCCATTTTCAATGCTCTGTCTAGATCTCGTCTTTGCCTCTCGCCCCAGTGATTAGGTTTGTGAACTATATGCGAAGTCATGGGCTATCTTCCTCTTAATGTTTCGGCAAGCAAAGAGAAATTTTTAGATAAATGCATCATCATTCAAAAACCCATACGTGAAAAAGTTGAATGAACTCTATGGTTGAAGGGACTAGAAGTGAGTAGGTTGGTTGTAGCAACAAACCTACAATATACGTGCTTAAAAAGAAAAAAGAAAAAAAACACGCCACGGATTTCATTGATCCACTCGATCCGGTCCGGTTCGAGAGGCAGGTGGACCGAATCCCGACTCCAGAAACCGAAAACTGGAACCGTTCCATCCGGAGCCAATCACCCCCGGTCGAACCGCGCGAAGCAACACTGACGCGGCCGGTTCGGACTCACCTACCGAGCAGCGAGCCGAGCTGGGTCTGGCCCCGCGTTAACTCAGTGACTGGGGACTCGTCAAAAGCCCCCGCCACGTGTTCCCACCGCGGGTGAGTCGCGATGACCGAGCCCGGTCAACAAGGGCCTAAAAGTCCAATTCCACGCAAAAAGATTAAAAAAAACAAAAAGGAAAACCGAAAAACTCCCCCAAACAGGAAACACAAATTCCCCAGCCTCTCTCTGCTCTCCCCCAGTATGACCTCCGCGAGCTAGGGTTTCTCTCGCTCCTCCTCCTCCTCCTCTCGCCCGGTGATTTCACCCCCTCGATCGGCGGCGTCGCCGTCGGTTCCGCTCTCCGGCAGGTCCTGCTCGTCTCGGCTCTCATGGAGGTAACGATTCCATCCGCCCGCCCGCGCGCGAGTCGATCCGGTCGCATCGTCATCGCCGTCCTCGCGGCTCCGGCCGTCCGGCCGTGCGGTTTCTGCCGGCCGAGCTTCCGGAGTCGCGTCCGATTTGCCGGGGTGCAATTGTGCTTGAACGTGTTTTTTCTTCGCCAGGGCTGGGGTTTCGAGGGGAAGGGGGGTTTTTAGGGGGGGAATTAGCTCGTGTGTGTGTGAACTGGTACTGATTGATTTGGACTGCCGGCTCCTAGGTCGCGGATCTATGTATGCGTTTAGGAAGCTGTTGATTGTCGATGGAATCGGTTTCCAAGGATGCCTTTTCACGGTTTAGCATCGACTGCTGGTGACCTAGGAGCTCAACTACTCTTTTTTTTTTTTTTCCAGGCTCAGGGGATGGAAGATGCTAGCAAGTCGGAGGCTCGCTCCATATCGGCCGCGGCCTTCGTGGAAGGCGGAATCCAGGACGCCTGCGAGGATGCTTGCAGCATCTGCCTCGAAGCTTTCTGCGACAGCGATCCGTCCACGGTACGTGATGTGCAATGTCTTTTTGCGCAGTTTTTGGGGTCCAGTTTTAGTTGATCTTTCTCTCTCTCTCTTTCCGCAGGTGACCACTTGCAAGCACGAGTTTCATCTCCAGTGCATCCTTGAGTGGTAATCTATAGTGCTCTCGGCCTCAACAGAATAAGCTTTGCTGCTGACAGAACAGACCTCATTATAATGCTAGACCAATACAGTATCGGCGAAGATATCTGTTACATTTTATCTGCATAGTCTCTTGAGCATCCTCCGTTTATCTAGATGTCATAGCGTCCATATTATCTTTGTTTCTTCTTCTCCTTTTTCCCTTTTATGCATTGCTCATATCAAGCAAAATGTTATATGGAATGATTACTCTCATATGCTTGATAGACCAGAGAGATAAGGGGAATGCTAAAATAGCATTTATTCACACGTAAACAGGCCGTGCGCAGCCATGCACAAATTCTGCGCTGCTATGGCTGGAGTAACGGCTGGGGCTGTTGACCTGATAGCTGCAATGTTGTTTTTTTAGGCATTATTGCCCCACATCCCGAATGCTTATATTTCAGTTTCCTCTGAGTCCTATAGAGTTTTATATCCTTGGTGTGGTTCTTGTGTTGTTTGACTATTTATATATGTTAACAGTAGAGCTTCATTTCCTCAAGTACTATTTTGTCTGGGTGCATCTGTAACCTGTCTAAATTTCCAAGGGAAAATTCTTCGTAGACCACTTTTTGGCTTATAAAACACAAAAAATTGTGTCAAACTATTAGGATATTGATATTCTGATGGCTTCTTGTTTCTTTCATTGGCCTCTAGGTGTCAGAGGAGTTCTCAGTGTCCCATGTGTTGGCAACCCATCAGCCTGAAAGATCCCACCAGGTAGAACGAGAGGCAGTGGAACGGGAGAGGAGTTTTAGGTTTAACCATGAGGTCTTAGTTCCCTTGTTATTTTAAAACTTTCAAATTTGAACATCTTTCTTCATGCTTTTCAGTCAGGAATTATTGGAGGCAGTAGAACGGGAGAGGAGTTTTAGGTTTAACCCATCAAGAAATGCGACAATCTTTCATCATCCCACTCTCGGGGATTTTGAGTTACAACAAGTAATTTTCTCAGACTAATCGAATCTTTTGCCTGATTATTAAGTTAAACTAAGTGTGTCTTGCTTAGCTGGCTCTTCTTGGTGGTTATGCAGCTACCTGTTGGTTCTACTGATTCTGAGCTTGAGGAGCGTATCATCCAGCACTTAGCTGCTGCTGCTGCTATGGGCCGAGCACGTCACATTGCCAGAAGGGAAGGCCATAGGAACCGGTCTTCAGCTCATGGTCGTCCACATTACTTAGTTTTCTCTACTCATCCTAACACCCCTCCTAGTGGTCCTTTTCCATCTGCGTCCCCACCTGCTAGGCATGGCGAAGATGAACAAGCTCCTGAAGTTACAGTTATCACACCTCCATCACCTGCTACCACCGTTCAGGATGAATCTGAGCAGCCAATAGGTCCATTGACCTCTTCCCCAGTGGAGCAGGGTTCGTCTTCACCTAGAGTTATTGCTGTTAACCAGCAAGGATCATCATTGATCAACAGGTACATTAAGCATCTGTTATAACAGCATAGCTCCATTGGGTAGTGAAATCTTTTAGTGTTTTAGTTTTAGATTTTCCTTTGACTTAAGGATTGTGTAGTACTTTAGACGTTGTTTAACTCTCTTACATAGTATCGTTGTACATATTCTCCCCTTGGCAGGAGATCACCAAGTCATTCCTCACCAAACAATCAGGATAGGGGAGGACCATCTGAGTTGCAATCCTTGTCAGAGTCCCTGAAATCTCGATTTAATGCAGTGTCTTCCAGGTATTGAGCTTTGACAGGCGCCCCTAGCTTAAATGATTGCTAATTTGATAGATCTCCTTTTATCTCTAAAGGTTAACAAGCATCTGCGCTTGACTGCTTTTAGATGCAAAGAATCAATTTCAAAGAGCACACGAGGGTGGAAAGAGAGACTGTTCTCTCGCAACACTTCCATGGCAGATCTTGGTTCTGAAGTTAGAAGAGAAGTTGACGCAGGGATTGCTACTGTGTCACGTATGATGGAGCGTCTTGAAACGAGAGACAGTGGCAGGACCAGTTCTGCTTCTGTGTCTAACAGTTCTGAGAATTTACCCGGTCCAGAACCTGAAAACCAGCAGATCCCTGATGCAGTTGGCGAAAATTCTTCGAGTATCACCAACCAACAGGCCTCATCTGCTACAAGTTCTTGTTCCAATTAATGTTGCTTCATCATTTGCTCCGGCTCGAAGCGTGAATTATCCGAGTAAGTTGAATTCCTGTGCTCAACTGCTTATACTGATGCTGTCAAGTTATCTCATTTCCTCAACTTTTCATGTGTCTTTGCACTTTATGCTCAGCCTATCCTTGCCTGTTCCTTCAATGCAAATATTTGTAACTTTTTGAGTGTGATTGCTGACTGTGTGGACAACGAAGTGACTAATTTAACCATAAGTTTCTTGCTGAAGCCATTCACTCTGTTGTCTGAATTTTTCTGTCTTAGGAATCAGTTGGAAGGAAGGCTGGATGTCAAAATCCTTGGGCGATGAGCATTCTTTTGGTGTGAATTCATAGTGGTGGGGAAATTGGTGTTGAAAGAATTTTTGCATTATGACCTATAGATCATAGATTGGGATAACAAAAACCTCTGTGAAGTGCATGTTTGGGACTCCATTGATTTGACGCCGTTCATGTAGATAATTATACTAATTGTTCTGGTTAATTGTACAAGCTCTAGAGAAGTTTGTAGTTGGAACCTGTCAAGAGAATAGCTAAAATTGGGGAGTTACCCTTATCAGTTGTTAGGTGCATCACTGTTTAGACCATGTTCTGGATAAGGAACTACTTAAGCAAGATGGTGATACCACAATGTGAGAACTTTCCCGAGGAGAAATGGTGCATAACTTTGGACTATTAATATTGGTTTTGTCCATGTGAATTCCGTTTTTTCCTTCAAAAAAGTAAAAGTGATCCTGCTTCCGATTGTGCTGATTATTTCATGTAGTGCTATCTTGCTCAGAAAAAGCTGCTGTAGTTTTGTTGGTGATGTAGATATCCATTGTTAGAGGTTTTCTTCTTCATTGCCCCTTTTTGTTTGCTGTAGTAAAGTGCAGCAGTCCTAAGGGTTTTTACAGTATGCATCTTGATCTTGTTTTATTGAACATATGTTGCTTCTAGTTTTGATATTGAATGCCTCGTTCTAATGGAAAGGTTATTGCGCTTTTTCACAGGTAGAAGCACCTCATTTTGAGGATGCTGAATCTATAGGCGTGATGCATGGATGCGGGATCTTCTTCAGGAGTTCGTCAATCACCCCGTCAGCACGGAAAAAAGAAGAAGATTGTTTATTAAGATATATGTTGGAATAAAGAAACTACAAAACAGCTCTATGTTTTGATGGTTAAACTCGTATACCGTTGTAAATTCTCCTAGATTTACTTTTGCAGCTGCGCATACTCGTACTGCATAATATCTATCTTCTTTGGAAGCCCATGTGTATACTAGTTTTAGACGCGAAGAGATCGAACTCGATCAAACACTTGTTGGACCGAGGAGTTAATGCATGTTAGTCAATCGAGTCCAGTGTTAATGTCTGTTCAGTTGAATTTAGCTGCAATAATACTGTTCCCGTTTCTGATGCAGTTGGCCTCTTATTCCTTTTTGGCTCTTTCAAAGCTTTGGATTACCATAAACAAGCTTGCTTAACAGTGCTTATTCACATACGAATGCATGTTATCAGTAGAGTATTAGCGTTCGGAAATAGTACAAAAATTACGAATGAAAACCCAGAATGAAAGCGCGAAACAAATCGAAGTTAGTTCTAAGGGCAGCATTGCCAGGGTTGGTGGTGTATTTAGAAGCCCGACGTATTCCGATAAATATTTCTTCAAATTGCCAGGAATGCTTGTTTTTACCTCTAAATGAGTTTAGCCACAGCACTTCTTATCTTCCATTGAGAGCGAACTGTTGCAACATGTCCGTTTCTGAGTGTTCACTGAAGGCCTGAACTTGAGCTCGATCCCTGCTCTCTTCCGGGGGAGAGACCGGGCGGTTATCGGCCGGGGAAGTGGCCGGCGCGACGACAGCTGGGGAGGCGGCGATGGTAGCAGAGGATTTGCTCTCATCCTCGTTCTTCCCCTGAGAGAAAGCCTCCTGTAGCTGCAGCGCGTACTCCAAGTTCCACAGAACGTCTCCCATGGTTGGCCTATCCACACCGTGTTCAGCCAAACACTTCTCCGCGGCTTCAGCGAACTTCTTCAGCGACTCGGGGTTGATGGTTCCCACAAGAAGAGGGTCGATGATCTTCTCGAGCAGGCCTTTTCGCTTCCACTGCATCGCCCACTCGGCCAAGTTCACTTGTTCCCTAGGAAGTTGAGGGTTCAAGGCAGGCCTCGCGCATAATACCTCGAGCAGGACCACCCCGAATGAGTACACGTCGGACTTGTCCGTCAACTGCTGCCTCCTGAAGTACTCGGGGTCCAGATACCCGAAACTTCCTTTCACCGCCGTGCTCACATGACCTTGCCCGATGGGGGCATCCTTTGACAGTCCGAAATCCGCAACCTTGGCGATGAAGTTATCATCAAGCAGAATGTTGGTGGTCTTGACGTCGCGGTGGATGATCCCCTGGGTGGTACCGGTGTGAAGATAGTGAAGCCCGCGTGCCGCCCCGATACAGATCTCGAGCCTTTGCTTCCATGACAACGGCGGCAAGTTCTTGCCGTAAAGGTGATCCCTGATTTGGCCATTGGACATGTACTCGTAGACCAAGATCATCTCAGAGTTCTCGTCACAGTAACCGATCAGGGATACGAGATGCCTGTGCCTGAGCTTAGACAGCATTTGGATTTCGGTCTGGAACTCATTGATTCCTTGTTCAGACTGCGGATTCCCTCTCTTGACCGCGACTTTAGTGCCGTCATCGATCTCTCCTAGGTAGACATTGCCGAATCCTCCGACGCCGATGATCGAATTCGAGTCGAAGTTCTTGGTCGCTTCTTGTATCTCCGCAAACGAGAAGTATCGGCCCAATCCCAGGGTGGACGAGTAGAAGTTGGTCTTGTGAGAACCCATTGAAGTCTTGCTGCTCATGAAGCTCGCGTCGCCGGCATGGAGTGGCAGCAACCAAGACGAGAAGCTGTTCCTCTTTTGCCAGTCTTGGGGCCTCTTATGCCACTTGATGACCATTGCACCGAGGCCAACGAATGCTCCGAACATCATCGCGAATCCGACTGCCGCCACCGTGTTACGGTTTGACGAAGAGGCCTTCTTTCCATCGACTCCGAATTCTCCATCCAAGCTATTCACCGAGTTGCTCATCTTCAAAATCTCCAGACCGTTCAAGATTGCATTCACCGTGCCCGTGTCTTGATTCAATGGGCCGATTTGAATGCTCAGTCCGCTGGCCATCAGGGTCGAATTCACTACGATGTCCTTGTAGTAAGGAATGGCCAAACCGCCTGTCAAGCTGGACAAATCGAGGCCCGATATAGCCATCTTTCCGTTGATGTAAACATTGAAGTAGAGGTCATTGAGGGACTTGCTCACAATGTCGCAGAAATGCAGCCGCACGACGTATCCAAAATCCGTATCAACATTGAAATTCCAGGTGACATTGAAATTGGGTTGTTGGACATTGGCATTGGCCATCTCCACGGCGGATGCATACACGGCTGTGGGTGCAATGAGCTTTGGATAGTCCTCGGGATACTTGACAATGGTCGAGGGGACAGAGACGCGCTTAGCCAAGGACTTTTCCTTGAGAAACTCCGTATCCAAGCCCCAGGATCTTCCTAGCGTGTCGTTCTGAGAAGTGATCACAGATCCCCCGACGTTGAGTCGGTACACGATCTGGTAATTGAACGAGCTCAAACCGTTGTATTCCGTGACAGGGAAGAGAGCGGTGGCGCTGTCGACGATCAAGAAGTCCGGTGCTGAAACCACCTCAATGGCATTGATGAATGCGAACGAGTCCTTGACAGGAGTAAACTTCAGGGTGAACTGGGGGTCGGTCACGTTCAGCAGATACTCCTTGATCATGTATTTAGTACTGTTATTCACGGAGAACCTGTGCAAAAGCACGACGTCGCTGGTCGTGATGGTGAACATGGCAGTCTGGAGATCGAATTGGGTGTTGTTCAGGGGGAAGAAATGGAGCCTAACCCAATGCCACCCCGCGCTCGCCAGGTGAAAGGAATAAGTGGCTTCGGCGACGAACACCCGCGCCGTCAGATAAATGGGCGACGGGACATCAGCCGCAGGGACCGAGATTTGGATGTTGTCCTTGGCTTCCAAGTATCCGGCAGAGTTCACGTCGGTCTTGAATATTCTTCCATCAGGGAGGGTGGCCAAGGAGTTGGCTCCGCAGTCGATGAGGATGTTATCCTTAGGAGAGAATGCGGGCGTGCTGGCTGTGGCGGCAGCGGCAGCGGCAGTGGAGCCGCCGAGGATGGCGAAGAGGAGGACCAGGAGGGCCGCCATGAGGGGTCGTGACGGCGATGTAGAGGGGGATAGAAAAAGAAGAGCGTTGACAGGTGTTCTTGGTTTATTTTCTATCTCCATCCCTCCTGGGTAAGGAGGATGAAACAGGGATTAGACTGATCAGGACCTTGAGAATATTAGAGGGTTATATCCATCTCCAGAAATAGAGAGAGAGAGAGAAAGGGGTGGGGGACTCTGTTGCCTTTGGAGTTTGTTGCATCTTTTGTGAAAAGAGATGACAAGCTTTTCTTAGATATTGGAATGTTTGTGGAGAAAGATTTTCTTGTCGTAGAGAAAATTTCCTGTCTTTGAATTTTGGGTGACCTTTTTTAGCAAATTCTAACAGCTTCGTAGGATCAAACATGGTCTCCCTTTGAAAGGGTCAAACAGCCTCCTCTCTCTCTCTCTCTCTCTCTCTCATCATTAGGAAATTTGAGTTTGGAGACATTGCTGTTAAATTGGGTTGTTAGGTCATTGAGTCCAACTAACAGGCCTGGAAATAGAAAGGTGCATCTACGGTTCATCTTTCATGACAGACCATGCATTTCACTGAAGCCAAGTGCTTTATAAAGACTTGGGCACCATATGAGACATGTCAAGACTCAAAGCTGTGTCACCTGATTGAGCATCACAAATCTGCACTCACAAACTTTCTCCGGGATCTCGAAACGTCTGTAGATGTTATTTACATCAACTGAAACCTGACAGGATACGTGGTCGAGCAAATCCACCTCCCCTTTCAAATTCTACATAGTTGCAAGAGAGAAACAGTGAGATTTTGCATACAGATGTAAGTACTAACATTAGTCTTCATCAACAGTGTCTCAAAAGAAGTATTTTTCTTGATTATTCTTGGAATGCTATTCGAAATGTTCGGTTCGCTTGCGGTTTGACAATCGATATCCGCATGGGATTCCTTCAGAAACTTATCCTCACGGGATCATTCATGATTCTGCTTTGCCTCTCAATATCAAAGCTGAAGTTATCTACGTTGATGATTGTCACTAGCTATCTACATTGATGATTGGCACTAGCCTCTAGTTTTTCTACAAGCTGCTCTCGGCACCGTCATTCCAAATTCTTCAGATGTTGACAGAGTGGAAGCCTAATGCTTCAGCTTCAAGCTTTATAGGTCTTTCACTGCTAAAACTTGCTCGGCATGGCAGCGTTTGTTGCCAATGTAGAGCTAGAAAATAAGTTGCATTCTTGGACTGTTTCATCTGTATGATCAAGCTTGCAGTCAGTGTGAGAGAGAGTAGGAGAAATCTTGAAGAGAAGATTGTATATGACCTGCATATTGAGTTGTGCTCAAATCCACATATACAAGATTACTGGGTGATGTTTGTGGTTATATGCAGTGTATTGTTTTGTTTTGGTGACAAACTGAAGTTGTTTTTCCATGAATTGCATTTGGCACATCCACTAGCTCCGGACCTGGAGCTGCTACTTATTTTAAATTAAATAGGCTGCCTTTTTTGATGAAATTTCTCTATTCAGCTAATTTTAATTGCTCGAAACGACATTATCCAAAACTTAAGAATTAGTGTGTGCTTACTTATTTGTCCATAAGTACGCAAAATTTTCTCCATGGTTATTAAAATTTTACATACGAAAAGCATGTGCCTACTTGTTTGTAAGTGATAAATTTTTCATGCGATAAGCGAACTTTCCATGAAAAGAAAGGTGAATTTTGGCCATTAACAAAACACTTCTTCCCGAAGAAAATATCTTTTAGAGCATGGTAGGTATATTAAGATTGATTTACGAAATTGGTATACCGATGATGTGGCAAATTATGAATAGGCAGTCAAGCATGCCAACCTCTCTTAACACCCAATAACAATTTGCTAGATCGTTTAGTATACCAATTTTGTAACCTACACTTGCATTTCTCAAACTTCTATCTGTTGCTGAGCCCACACATTTAATCAAAGCAGTCTCCACAAAAATGAGCAACTGTTCATCATATAAATCAGCAAAGCCAAGAATCTGGAAGTCTAAAACCAGAAGACTTCAAAAGATGTAGCCACAAAAACATCCACAATTGACAATTCCATCTCCGATCTTATTCAAAGGAAGCAAAACAAGGCTTCAGTTTCATTTTCATGTCCCAGACTCACTAAGTTCCTAGTGACCCCCTGTTTTGTTCTCCCACCACTCCAAGAACTTGACTTGCGCAGCCATGGTATCCAATCGGTACAGTTGCAGCGAATGGCTAGCGATTTCCTGTCCAAAGGTCCAACCAAACACCGCCCCTGCTGCAAAGGATAGTCCAGCACCTGCCGGGACGAACAAAAACGGGACCAAAGAAAGAGATAAAAGAATTATAAGTCCATCCAAATTCCATTTACGCCTTGCTAAAAGAAATCCCGGCCGGTTATTTTAAAGTAAACTATACTAGCTTCTAAACTAACCACAGTCCTGAATTATAAAATGCGAAGCCAGCAGAAGTGAAAATATGATGCCATAAATGCTTCAACATATCCGATACCCCCGCGACCAGCTTACCGATTCCAGGTGAACTGTAGCCTTCATACAAGTAGAACTGTCTCATACATAAGAAAATTGATGGATGGCATGCAACATTTCTAACTGTAATATCTAATAAAAGTTGAGCACAAAGGCAGGTACTATACCTTCTCTTCTAGATATAGTAGTCAAAAAGGGTAGTGCGGAATGGGAGAATCATAGCCACACCAGGTTTGAATAATTTTCGCAAAAATAAAACATAATCCTTTCTGCTTATCATCAATAATTCAGGAGTTTAATGAAGCAAAATGGCAAGACGAAGAAAACTGAATTCCATCCCTTTGTTAAAGACGAGGCCATTAGAAGAAGATGCAAGAGATATGCTTTGCTTCCAGCAAACACTTCAAGGTTCCCATGCTACTATTATTCAATATATCTTTAGTCTAGCACCTCAGAGGCAAGTGAACACTTTCAATCGGCCAACGATAATATGGAGGAAAGAAACAGCCAATAATAAGGAAGACAGATTTGGAAAGAGAGGCAGAAAAATACCATGCAAGCTCCTTGAATATTTCCAGGCAAAACCTGCTGTGGTCACTGCCCCAAGCACACTTCCAACAGCCGCATAGGTCGCTGCTTCCCTCGCTGTCTTCAGCTGATAAGTGAAGGAAATGCAGCTGTTACATACAGAAGGCTGTTGCATACAAAGAAAAAGCATGGATTCATCAAGCAAAAGCTGGCAAACGTATTTAAGCATCTAACGCCTAAACTTCCATCTTACAAATTCGTTAATGAGCATCGGCATACTTCAAGACACTTCAAAACAAAACAAAAGTGTCTCAAGATCTCCATTATCTCTGAAGAACAAGAATTCACAACTAGCAACAGAAAGAGAGCCAAACCCAAAGAGCCTCACTAGGGCCAGTTATAAGAGAGAGCATACTAGCTATTAGACAGTGGAAAGGCATGTCATTTCTTGCCATTATGCTTTGGTAAAAAGCCAATAAAGGGACACTGCAGGTGGTGCAGGAACATGATAACATGTGGCGCAGTGATGTTCGTTGAGCTCCAAATTCTGAAAATTCTGATATTATTGGTTAGAATATAGAGCGCAATTAAATGCCTCTTTCTGAATATAGCAACAGAAGTCAGAGCACAGACAATTTGATACAACGAAAGTCGAAATGAGTTGATAGACATTAGTGGACCCAACAGACTAAGTGGCCACCAAGTATACAATCGCCATTCACCAGTTGCCATCTCTACGACTACAATCCCTTGTGAAACCATTTCCTCAATACCGTTGCACATTAACAAACAAAAGGCTCTGCAACTTAATCAAAGATATCGCCACAGTAGATAGGTTCTTTTCCTGATTGGTGACGGGGATTCCAGAAATTGAAAGGCTCTTTTGCATGGGGTCATGCACATTGAGGTAATAATCAAAGATAATCCATCAGCTAACAGTCGTAACAGTCTAGTAACTAGTTGGAAGCTGAAGATAATATTAGAATGGTTCATGTGCAAAAAATGGAGCAAATTAACAGCACAAGACGCAAACCCACTTCGACAAAAAGCAGATGGATAACAAGTAACCATACTCATTGACCTGGAACTACAACTCAAGAATCAATCTTCCATGCGTCTCTATCGGTGATACATCTCGATTAACTCACTCGAGATGTTGTCTGTTGTGGCCCATCCCATACCGAGACTCACAATTTTGCCTTCTGGCGTATAGGCAAGCACTTTCAGAGGAGGTCACCCATCATGGTTTCTATAAAATAGTAATCCGTCCTTTTCTTCACTATAAGTAAGTATATTAACAATATTACAACGTTTCGATAAAATGACCAAAGTCCCAAATTTCACGGTTTTCCATTGGAAGTCATTCCTTGATTAGTGCAATAAAGGAACGGATTTTCTTGACCGCGAGAGAGGAGTTTACTTAGTAAAACATCATGCAGTTCACTCTTCAGCTATTCCCATACACTTTAAATATCGAGCCATATCCTTGTACTCGGTACTACCGTGTCGGTCCGCCGCACTATCTAAAAATCAAACATCGAAGGAACAATCCCAAAGAAGATAACGAACAAGCGCAAACACACCAAAACATATCGATGAGAAGTCGCTCCATACGAGCACAGGCCAAACAATAAGGACCGATCAGCACTCCCAAAAGTCTCCAATCAAGCTACAGTAAATCAGTCAACCATCCACCCCGGGCGGGCGCATAAACGCTAATCACTCCTTAAGAAAACAACGACGACACGGCTCGAATCGATCAAATCCCCGCGAAGAAACAGATCCAAATCATCCCTTAGCTACGAGAGCACAGAGCATGGATGAACAAGGCAAGTAGCAGTGGAATTACGGTGGGGCCGTGAACGGGATCGGAAGCGATGAACTCGTCGACGTCGGAGGCGGACCAGGAGGGGAGAGGGGCGTCGCGGTCGGTGAACCGGGTGTAGCTCTCGAGGAAGGAGAAGCGCTCGCCCCAGAACTCCTTCCAACCTTCCCAGTGCTTCCCGAAGAAGGACGATTCCGCCATTCCTGAACCCGAATCGGAGCAGACAGCGACGGTCCTCGATAGGCCAACCCCTCTCCCGGTTTCCTCTCACGCTCTCTCTCTCTTTCTAGGTGCGAGCGAGAAATGGAGATGCCTGAGGCTAAAAGTGGGCTTTTTGTTCGATCGAAGGTCGTTCCTGTGCCCGTTTGAAGTTCAGGGTCATACGGCCTAAAACTTGTCAAATTTAATACATTCAAGTAGTTAATGCATTCAAGTATTTAACTCCGTTAAATTATCCAGGATGCATTCGAGTATTTAACTTCGCAATAGTATCAACCCACGTCGATGTTTATGGTCTAGGCGACCGACATTTTCCGTTGATTAATGACATTAGTACGGTATACTTTGATCCTTTTGTATGTGTAGGTAATGTTTTTGAATGATGGGGATGATGTTATATCGTAGTGGAAATTTTAGATTTTCATGAGAAAAGAAAAAAGTGATTCCCACCAACATGATGTCCGCATAAAAAAAAATTCAGTCTTTACTTGCAAGAAACATGTCAAAAAGACTCGAAACATGGATTTCGTCCCTATGAATTTCTTGAGACCTCTTGCGTAATACTTGATGCCCCCCCTGCACTTTCATTAGAATAGGGGCGTAAAGCATTAGAGAAGCTGATGATACACCCCGAAACAGTAGATTTGCCTTTGGCATCGATGTAATGCATCACAGTACGCCATGGCCGGAAAATTCGTCGACACAGACATCATCAAGAGGCAACACACAGTGGACTCAAACGGACAATTCGGTGCAGATTTCTGAAAAGAGAAGAGAAGATATACATAGGAAATTGGCCCTACTTCAACAAAAACCATCTCGTCAAGAAGTTGGTCTGCACTTTCATCGCCTTCTCTTCGTAGCCGGAGTAGAACCCGACCCCCCTCGCTTAGCTGCAGTGGATCCACCTCTTCCTCTTCCTGCTGGTTTCTTCTTTGCGCTTGAGTTCTCATTACCCTTCAAGTCCAATTCCACTTTTATAGCTGCCCAAGGAAATAAAACAGAGGCTCTAATCAACACAAAGAACGCAGACAAATTTCCGCAAGTGTCCGAAAAAAATGTCCAATGATCAAATTACCTTTAGAATTTAGTCCCTCAAGGTCCAATTGCAGCTTCTTCTCACCATTAGCAGCACCCTCTGCATACCATGAGAAGCGGAGAGAATCACTAGATGTTCAAATCTCTCTCTCTCTCTCAGGGCTCATATGCGCAAAAGGGACAAGGATGCCACAACCAAGCATCAGTTGAACTAAGAAGAATACTTTAAGAAAAGATGTCACAATTCTATCGGCTGAACAAATGCTTACTACCAAAAACAGGTGAGAAATTCAAAATGCAACACAAAGGTGTCACAGAGCATCCCCTTGATTCAGCATGAAATGCAACACAAAGGTGTGATGTTGAACCTTAACACAATATCCACGAACGTCAATGGAGAGCACTCTTTCTACGATCAGAAATCCCAAACTCTAGCCGTCTCCACAAATTCAAAGATTTTCTCAAAGCCAAGACTCCAAAAGAAATTTCTACTTGAAGAAACTGTGACCCCGGCCTTTATTGAATATATAAAACAGTACCCACGGAAAAAAAAATTGTTGCACTATCCAGCAAGGTATGTAAAAGCATAGACTTTGGCCTCATTATGTGTAATAAGGACAACAAAAAATTCAGTCTTCAGATTTACCTTGGTCTTCCGTGTCAAAAGAGTTCTCCTCTTCACTTTCTGCCAAGGCATCACCATTTTGCTCTCCCGATCCATCATCAGATGGCTCCAAAATAGCTGCAATCCGCTTTTTAGGCACTTTCTTTACTCCTGGTAGTGTAACTAAATCTGCTGCTCGTACCATCCTTGACCTGCTGCTTTCATTATACGACCTGGTCAGCGCAGATTTGACAGTAGGTGGAATGCCATCTAAGGGATTTGGATGTCCCTGAAGGAAAAGAGGGACATAAATGCATGAGCAACCTTAGAATCATCAGCCGACAATAGAGCAGGAATGAGTACCTTAAATTTTGATAGTTCCACTATAGTATCAAAGTCTTCCTGATTGATTGAATATAAATTCATGAACTCCACAACTTCTCTGACAGCTTCATCCTGATCAGAACAACACATGATAGTGACAATAATTTTCTTAGAAACTCATTAAAGCAACAAAACTGAAAAAAATCAGGTAACCAACCTTAGGCAGCACTCTAAGAGGATCAGTCAATCTCTTAAGGAGGAGGGACAGGTAGTCAACTCGCAAAGATTCCCTGAACAGTATAGTTCAAAAATGATAACCACATAAAACATACGGTGAACCAGCCAGTACATTCCCATAAAAACTTCTAAGATGACAGAAGAACAAAAATAAAAAAAGAGAAGATAAGAAAATAAATTCACTTTACTTTTGGACCATTTTGTACATATAAAAAACAAGTTTCCCCAATAAAACAATTTTACCTTCCAGAATTAGATTCACGAGAAGCAAGAAGATGATCATGCAGATCATCCAAAAGTCGCAAGTTTTTGCCCGTCGTTGAGTTCTTTCCTAACCAGCCACCAAATCTGTTGAAATTACGCTCACCCTGGCACAATCAGGAAGAAAATGCAACATCAACATCCAAATTTATGTAGCTTAGGCAAATCACTGAAAGTGTGTGAGGAAGCAGAATCTTCTAGTACAACAAAAAGAGAGATCCAACTGTGAGACTCACAATGCTAGGACACAAAACAAAACGAAAATTAGCAGAGATAACGCAGATATTTGCAACTGCTAATTACGTAGGCATTCACAAATCTTGTGATCAGTAGCTTTCACTTATTCTTAGGAATGATATACTGGCATATTGCCCATCAGAATTAAGATATCGTGAGAGAGTAAAGTACCTGTTCAAGTGTCTCCCTTTGCCCATGCAACAATGCAGCACTGAATGAAAAGCAATATGATGAGAAATTCGAAAGGAGCATACAAAAACATCTCGAGAAATACCTAACACCTACTCCAGCTTATACAGAAAACGTACGGGATTATACAAGAAGCAAGGCAACCAGCTTGAGAGAGCTGCCATTGGCGATATCTTCGTATCTGTACATTTATAATGTCCCCGTCGGCAATAGAATCAGCAGCCCGGGCAATCAAGGACATGCGTTTTATCCCATTATCATCCTTGCCAGCAGCACTAGGTCTATAGTTCATATAATTTTCCTGACACGCATTAAACCACATATATGAGAATACAAGATGTAAGGATTCTCAAGAAAAAAGTCTTGCATGGATGTGCATATTTGTACATCCCAGCGTGAGCAGAATAGAATATGAAATTGAGCAAACTGAGACAAGGGCAAGTGTGAGCAGAATAGAAGCCGAGCATTTACAGTAGGTTACTCGAGGCGGATACAGCCAGAGAGTAAGGTCTAAACCTTGGCAACTACTTATCTCTTTCTTATCTAGCTTCGAATTAACACACCACATCCGAGGGAATAAAATTAAAGAAACCTGTTCAGTTGAAAAGAGTGAATTGTCCGAGCTATATTTGATCTTCATGTTCGTGGCAAAAATATGACCTTCTGTTAGTGACTACTATTGAAGTTGATGTACTGATTTTTCAACCACACCGAAACACACATAAAGGTCAGCTGATGTTCACCAATTGAGACATTCAAGATATTGGTGAATTGGTATTGCCTTTGCAAACAGGTAGCCGAATCCATGGTGCTAACTGTGGTTGGTCATGGATGCTTTGGGATTTGATCTTCATGGTGGGTATTCAATGGGTAAGTCTGAAGAACATACAAGATGAGCTAAGAGTGACATTGGGCATATGCACAATCAAAAAGAAGAGGAAGAAGATTCAGGTGATTTTTATAGAGCATTTTTGGCTAATTGGGAGGGAAAGAAATAGCAAAGTGTTTAGAAAATGAGTAACCCATTTTATGAAAATTAGGTATCCATGGTCTTCCACTTTAAATGTTTAGCACATGCGGAGAAAAGTCTTCATGCCAGTGCTATTTCCTTACCTAGTGGGCTCCTTATCCTGTAATTAATTTGGTAAATGGGTTGTTATCCTGTCATAAATTTGCCGAAAAACATTTACTTCTTTGCAACTTTGCGCCTTCTGAGCCAGGTTATTACCATGTCACTTGACTTAAATTGGTAGTCCGAAAATTTAGAAATTCACGTTCTTCCGAAACTTCCCTTTTTCGCTATTCATCTGGTAACTTGCATGACCCAAAAAGGTGAAAAGAGAGAAAACCAATGATATTTGGCAGAGCAGCCAAACATCGACATGCTAATGCCCATTTCATTCCATTTGTTCGATCATTCCAATATGTTCCATTCTTTCATGCCAAGACCAACTGAATGTGTTATACTAAGTAGGCTTTTTGTTTTTCCAGAAACAAAATGCTTCCATCAAAATGCACGATAACGATTAAGGTTGTCATGTGATAGATGTGTTGGTGCTTGTCAAGGCATAAACTTTTGTGTACAGTTTGTTATATGATGCAGGGCACAGAACATAGACAATGCCACAGTCCAAAGATGTTGGAACATTTAAACTTGTTAAAAAGATATCAAATATGTACCAGGCCACATGGGCCCCACGCATGCTTCTGGTCAGGGGCTCTTTTAGTAAACCAATATAGTATTAATTGAAAACCCAAGTGAGAAATGCGGAGTGCCCAGTCCAAATCATTACGTAGCTTTCTAGAAAAATTCAGTAATCTCAGAAAAGAAGTCCCTATTCAATGAACTACCGCACTATGAGACTAGAACCAAAATTTTACCACAAATCTACACCCAAAATCAGTCAATATGACAAATAGCAACAACGAATTTTTTAACTGCCAAAGACAAGGTTCAAAAAGAGTAGGAGAAACTTCACTAATCTCATCTAAACGGACTAATAGCAATGAAAGCATAGAGTTCATTGATCATCTTTCTTCGAATGAAATATACCTAAAGTTTCTTCTTGATTCAAGTTCAAGTTTTTTTCTGGTGTCACTCTGCAAGGTGCAAATTCCTTTGGCAGTGTAAAAATTACAAAAAAGGAAGGAAGGAGCAAGGAACCTGTATAAGAAGAGGGACCAAATCAGGATCACTCATGCTGAGGTCAATCCGCTCATCCATTCTTAATTTGCCCCCATTGAAGCCAAACAGCCTATAATCATATAAGATAGTACATATAAATAACATCGCTTCCACGTTAGGTAAGTTGTCACCAAGAGAGAAAACAGTTTAATAAAGAGGTGATAAACTGTTGAAGTCATACTTATCGACAGCCGTGAAGGGCGATATATCTTCATCTTTTGCACTGCTAAGAAGGCGTTGTTTCATGTCATCGTAGTTGATCACTGACATCGAGAGACTCATATACTGCAATTGATTGAGTGCCATACGGATATCTCCATTAACTCTTTCAGCAAGTTCCTCAAGAGCAGCCTGAAACAATCGAAAGGTCAGAGTCAATCCATTAAGTGAGGAAGAAAGAGAGAGAGAACTCTTTGCAGAAAACTACTGAATAAATTGCTCTAGGGTCAAAAGTACACAACCATTCTATTATTGTTTTTTTTATATTGGCACTTCAGTGGAAATATGACATCATGCCAATTGTGGTATCTCAAACCTTAGTTTTAAATAACCTTCCAATTTCTCGTGATAGTAAAAGATAAAACTGTTCACCCTAAGTCCATTTGATAAAAACAATTCATAATTTCCACACGCATTCTCTTGCAAGGGACATCTAAGTTCAAGAATCTTGATATCCCTGAAAATACCTCTTTAACTTGAAGGCCTTCTCCTTTAGCTATTTGCATTAACCTCTTTGCCATCTATCAAACAAAAATAAAAAAGAAAGGAAGATGCATTAGAAACTCATAGCAATTTGGACTAACAACGCCCTTTTGGACAAAGGTTAAATCACAGCAAAGAGTTGAGATCATCACATAGGATACGAACATTGTGTTGCAAGGTGGCCAACCATGTCTATGAGGGATGAATACTAGTAACAGAAAAGCAGAAAAAATCACCAAAATACCCAATAAAACAAGTTACCTTACAGTTGGAAAATGCAACAATTAAATTTCATTCTACTTAGATCAAGAGCCTATAAAGGCCAAGACAAATTTTACGTTCTCGTTCACTTGAAGAGACTTTTTTCGTTAGTTTAGGAAGCTAATTTACCAAAGGAGCAGCAGGCAACTAACACTCACAGGTCAGCAAGAATACATTAAACAATTAAACATCACTATGAAATTACTAGCCAATTTAAATAGCTTACATTCTCCATTTAAAAAATAGAGCACCAATTCTAGCTCTTAAGGATAGCTTAGATACATATTAGTATGCGTGCCAGTTATCAAGCAATGGCCAAGAGGGCTCATCAAATTAATTGCATTGAGCATCATAACATTAATAATCTCCTATGAAAAAGATATGATAAACTCTGATAATTTCGTTGACTAAAGGGGAACGGGAGAACCACTTGCTTTGTAGGTTTTCAAAGTTCAGAAGCTTATGGTAGTTCAAAAAAGAGTCGGTCAAATGGGCTCACCAAGCTCAGTGCATTGAACATGATAGCGCAAATAAGATCCTACAAGAAAAAGATCTATGATAATTCTCTCAATTAGAAGGGGAACGGGAGAACCTGTTGCTTTGTAGGTTTCCGAAAGTTCAGAAGCAAACAGTAGTTCACAAGACTTTTCAGTTTCTGACTATAGCGATCATTGCAGATGCAGATAATTGGAATTTTGGAGATCTTTATGCTAGCAATAAGATCTGCAACTCCTCCTCTATCTCCAGCAGACATTCCATCGACCTCGTCCATTATGAGCACGGATTTGGGATGCTTAGACCTGCAACCAGAAAGAAACCTTAGATATTTCTCGCTACTTTCTGCCACGCATAGAGAAGAACAAAGAATTCGTAACTAACCAATCCATGTTGACACTTAGGGATTCATTGCTCACAAGTTCCTTAATGGAATTGGCATTGCTGCCACCTATCCCTCTAGAGATCTTGCCGTCAGCCTTTCCACGACTATCACTAGCATTCACCTGAAAATTGCATAAAAAAGAAGGTAAGTAAAACGAAGAGATGGAGGGCAAGAGGTTGACTTTAAAAAATCAATCCATATTTGACCACGCTAAAAGTTCTTGTTGTCAATCCAGTGAGACGCATTACCTCCACTGCCTGAAAGCCTAGCATCTGGCAAACCACTTTTGCTGACGTAGTTTTCCCAATACCAGGAGATCCACTTAACAGAACAGCTTTCTTAGCACCAGAATCAGTTTGATTTTTCCCCTTACCTTTCTTTCCGGTATCTAGAAACTGTTCATTCCAATGTGCCAACCAACTATGGAGCTGAGTTACCTGCCATCATTCGGAATATTAACCATAAAGACATGCAAATAAATAGATATCATATTTCAATGAAACTACAGCACAGTACAGTACAGAAAGGAAAGATGATGCACCAGTGATGGATTTCCAATGATGTCATTCAAAACTTTTGGCCTATACTTTTCAGTCCATGTCAAAGAAGAAGGTTTAGAAATTTGATCTTTCTTCAAAGCAGCGCGGGAGTCTGGTGCCAAACCTTGAGGAGATACACCTGTGGCCAACAAAGGCTTGTAAGAGAGGCTCTCCAGTGCATTATACCATACAAAATGACTGGCAAGACTGGAACCAGATGATTAAAAAAAATAACCGGAGTGAGAGCTGATTTTGCAAGCTAAAGACCCGCTTAACAAGAACATTTCAGCAATTACAAGTACCAACGTCTTGTAGCATGTTGTGCAAAAAATTATGGCGCCACATATGTTTTCAAACAAAATATACATATTCTGTAGCTCCATGTTCTGCCCAATTGTCATTACATCAACCTGTACAGCTTTAAAAATATGATAAGATTTTCTATTTTAAGTAATTTAATTTTTGAACCTGTGAACTTCAAGGTATTGCAGAATACCTTTATATCAATTCAGCATGATGTCAAACAGCAACCAGAAACAGCTCCTAATAATCATACTCTTAGTTAGTACTGCTCTTGCCGACAAAACATGTCCTCGGTTTATCCTCATCACTAATGGACTAGAAGTCGGAATTACTTATAGTGGAAAAACAAATGTAACGTCAGATATCCTCCATTCCAGGCAAAAAGCCTTCACAGTCCAGGACTGTTTTTGCTTCTCCCAAAACTCAATTTTCTTGGACATTTCCAGTGGCATTTCAAGCCACCCCGTGCTCTCTGATTACTCTCCTCATACACGATGTCTGTTTACTGAAATTAATGATCTGGAACTCATGCCATTATCCCAGGATTTAGAGCATGCAAATTAGTTGTTTTTTCCTAAAACTCCTCAACCAAGGATATTTATAATTCCGAATTTCTTTCGTCTGCCACGTCATAACCTGACGACTCTTTTGAGATTCATATTAGCAGAAAAGGACTTAAATGAGACACAAATACCGTTTGGAGAAACAAAGTGATGTAAAACGGCATAACACATAATATTGCATAAAAAAGGATGACCAGAAAGGAACAAAGATCTATAAAGGCATACTTTTCGGATCAACTTTTTGTGGAGTTTTCTTGGTCAAAGACGGCACAGCTTTCTCTATACTCTTGGACTTCTCTTGAACAGGTGTTTTTGTACGAAGTGATGACCGGATCAGATCAAACAAACCATCCTCCGTAAGAAAAGTCGTTCTGAATCAAAGAAATGAAAACCACAAATGAGCACTGCAAACTAACTATTTTAATACTGTAATAAAGACCAATATCCACAGAAAGTAAAGACCTGAGCTCCTTCGCTTTTGCAGATTTCCGTCCTTCAATATCTTCATCACATAACAGGTAATTCTGGACACAGAATTAGGAAAGTAAGTAACTCAGGTTCAAATAACACTCTCAATACTAAATCATGAAAGGAATATGAGATGACCGTCTTCTTGCTGACTGATCCAGTGACACGACCTCCATGGCGTTTAATTAGATCTTCTGCTTCTTCTCTCTCCAAACTGGAAAATTGTGAATGTTCACTAATTAATCTAGAGATACATAAAGCAGCAAAAGCGTAAGCAACCAAGAAAGAGATGTCCTTACATGTTAAGATAATCAGAAATATGCAACTGGAAATTTCGAAGCAAAAGTTATGACTTAAAGAAGGGGGGGAGGGGGGGGAAGGGCAATGATTTGTGGTACCTATCAAGCGTTCCACTGATTACAAAAGTTAAACCTGCTAAACAATCTGGAGCACCTTCAGGGACTTCCTGGCACATAATGAATTAAAGTAAACAAGATAATTAATTACAAGAAAGCATTTTATCCCAAAAAAAGAAAATATTGAGTATAATAAGCATATTCTACCTTCTGCCCCTTATGAGGAGGATCTTTCCTTTCTCCAAAATTCATAAATCCACCTCGTCCACCGCTGCCCCTGCCTCTTCCACCAGCTGGAGCTGCAGATGCACCTCTACCACCACGACCCCTTCCACCAGACTTCGGAGGAGATTTAACATCCTTATGATCATCATCGTCGCTCTCTTCAAGATCTACTAGTTTCTTTGGAACCCCCCTACCAGAACCAGACTTCAGTTTCTTGCTAGGTGTGGTGACATCAGATGGTTTCTTAGGAGTGGGCAAGACAAAGTCATCGTCATCGTCGTCCTCAACTTTGTGCATTTTCTTAGAAGGAGGGGGTTTCAGAGATTGCTCGGTATCCTTTTGAGGTTTTCTTTTGGTTGAAACCTCTTCTGGTTCAATTTCATCTTTCGGCTTCAGCTTATCTGCAGCAAAATACTTGCTGGTTTTCTTCCTAGTTGAAGTCTCCTGAACCGGATGCACCTGAATTTTTAGGGAGCAAGTAAATACATCAATTGCCAACTACATATCTGCTTTAGCATATTCACTCAATCCATGCATGCTTCCTTGCTTTCCTCATGAGAATTCATTTTGTGGTCATAGCAACTACTTGATTATCGAGAAGTATATTTCAACAAAAATTCAGATTGTTTTGCAATAATCCCTGGGATTACCCAAAGAAGAGACGAAAGGAAAATCATAATAAGAAACCTGGGAGAAAAAGAGGCTATGCTTAATTATCTGAGCAGGCCGCCCAGAAAATTTCCATGGTAGGGAATTGAACATTAGGTAAGAAAGTTCAGTATTTTTCCTCTGAGAGTTAGAATTTAACTAAGCATCCAACATCATCGAATGCTTAAGACCTCCGCAATTCGAGGATACATACACATTCAAAGAAAAACACCAAGTCATTCAACCAATCCTTTTCTTTTCTTTCTCCCCCAATTCAACTGCCTACTGAAGTACACAACAAATCAAAACACCGAGGAGAGAAACACTAGTTACTTATCAACAGCAAACAGATAGCAAGAAATGCACTCACAGGCTCATCAGCAGGCTGAGACTTTGCCGGAGGGAGTTTTCCCGAATCGCTCGACCCGGGCTTCCCAACCTTCGCATTGCCATTGCCTTTGTCATGCGACTTCATGAACCACTTCCTGATGTCCGACTGCGATCCAGGAAACAGTCCGTAGATTGCCATCAGGACAAACAACATACTACAATGTCAGAAATCGACAGCTAAAAAATAATTTTTTTTTCCCCTCCGCCAACAATAGCAAAACAATCAAGAACGCAATTCCGCACTCGAAACAAAAAAAAAGAAAAAAAGAGACGACCCAATTGAGCGATCCCCGCTCTCCCCGGAAACTGACGGAGAGCACAAGAAGACCCCCTGCAGGCACATCGCAATTCCGTCCGCGCAACGGCTAAAAAGAAGTCTAACAGACTTCAGAACCCTAGCGCTCACCATGTCTGGAGCTCCCGAGCAGCTCGCGACGGCTCCGGGCGCTGCGGGTGTCGCCGAACGGACGGCAGAAAGGCGCGACGGGAGGCTGCCGAAGGAACGCAGGGAGAGAGACGGGGGCCGGAAGCGGCAGCAGCAGCGATTCAGGCAGGTGAAGAAGAAGAAGAAGAAGGAGGAGGAGGCACGAGATGGCTTAGGTTTTGGCCGAGACGCGAAGGCACGAGAGAGGAAGAAGAGAGAGAGGTGTGTGGGCTGGAAGCGGAAGGCGAGTCGAGCGAACTCAGCAGTGGAGTCGGAGCGGCTCCCGCCTGAATTCACCTGCGCCTTCGCTGGACGAGGACGACGACCGCGCGATTCCTTCTCGACCGGCCGGTTCAATTCTTATGAAGAAGGCTCCTTTCTCTTCTTTCTTTTCTTCTTTTTTTTTGGGATAAATACATTGAAAATTCTAAAATTTATTAAAAAAAAAAGCGCGATTGAGTTCTAAAAATTTCAAAAAAAAATAACTTATTACGAAAGTGCAATCGAATTTTAAGATTTTCAAAATATGTAATTAATAGACGAACTTGATTTGATCAATTTAATAAGTTTTTAAGAGTTGATTGCACTTTTTGAAAGTTTTATGAATCAATTGAATTTTCGTGATAAGTTTTAGGATTTCTAATGCACTTATCCCTTCTTTTTCTTCTTTTTTTATCACAAGGGAGAAAATTAAAACAAAAAGAACCTTTTACATTTTGGCAATAATATAAAGGGTTAATACCACGAAAAACCCTAAACTGGTACATTTGTGACACATTTACCCAAAACTATTTTTTTGACCATAAAAAACTCTAAGCCCAGTCGCATGACAATTTTACTCGAACATACCACAAAAACCCTAAAGCTGAGCACATGTGACAATTTTACCCGAACTAATTCTTAATATTATTTTTTTGAATTTTTCTTTTTCTTTTCTTTTCTTTTCCTTTTTTTCCTTCACCTTCAACCTCGCGCGGTCGCGGGCCGGCGACCGGCCAGAGGCGGAAGTCGGCGAGGGCCGCCCTCGCCAGCGTCGGGCGAGGGCCTCCCTTGCCGGCGTCGGGCGAGGGCGACCCTCGCCGGTATCGGGCAAGGGTTGCCCTCGCCGGCGTCGGGCGACCCTGGACGGCCCTCGCCGGCTTCCGCCTCTGGCCGGTCGCCGAACCGGCGACCGGCCAGAGTTTGAAGATGAAAAAAAAAAAAAAAAGAATAAAAAATAAATAAAAATTCGAAAAAAATAAAAAATAATATTAAAATTTTAATTCAGGGTAAAATTATCACATATATACCAGTTTGGAGTTTTTTGTGGTAAGTTCAGGGTAAAATTGTCACAGGTGTACCAGTTTGGGGTTTTTGGTGGTAAAAAAAATAGTTCAGGGTAAAATTGTCACAGGTGTACCAGTTTGGGGTTTTTTATGGTAAAAAAAATAGTTTTGGGTAAATGTGTCACAAGTGTACCAGTTTAGGGTTTTTCATGGTAGTAACTCTAATATAAAATAGGAAAAGGAGTATGCGAACCATGCAATTTCCACTTCAAACCGGAGAAGGGGAAATGCTGTTTTTAAAAAAAAATTAAAAAAAATTAGTCAACATCTTATATTATTTTATTGATGTCCACCCTCTTAATATTACTAGATTAATCACGTCTCAATGTATGTTTAACTGTATTAATGCCATAATAATCAGGTGCAGGATGTCGAACAAATTTTTTTTACATTATGATATATTTACCCAAAAACCGACGGTTTGAACTTTGAACTAGCAGGTAAAACTGGTTCGGTCCGATTCTCGAGTTGAATAGGACCACGAAATCCTAATAATTAGTATCTTTTCCTTTCTATATTGGGGTTATGTCTACCAACTAAAAATGTTATCTTGGGAATATCTTATTGCATAATAATATCACGACGTGGTTTTGTTTCTTTAAATAAAACTATGTAGTTCGATGTTTCCTTGCTTGCTCAAGAAACCGGAGTTCTTTTTTTCCTCTTCGAGTAGCCAGTCTCTTACAATTTGAAACGTGCGGCTGAAACAACAACATTATAACGTTGAAATAACTGGGCCCTTTATAATATTACATAGATTTCATAAAAGAAAATTTCAAATATACAAGACAACATTAATACCAAAATCACCAAAAATCGTACCTAAATTTCAAAACCCAAAAGTTGCCGAAAATTCAATCCTAATTTGTAAAACCCAAAAATCCCTAAAATTGCCGGAAATTAATTAGCTAGCACCTTAAATTCGTAAACCAATTTACTAAACTTACTATGGACCAAATTTGACTAATCAATACCGAATAAATTAAATGCCTAAAAACTACTTTAAATCCCAAAAATAGATTGAACACTAAGAAATCAACTAAATAAGTAAACAAGAATGAATGAGTTATCCAAGACTAGGATCTCCTATTTTTATTTTTAAACTAGTTAATCTAGATAAAAAATTATTTTACTAATATCTCCAGGTTTCCTCACTCATCTAAATTAAAACAATATATCAAAATCGATCAAATTTCTAATCTAGAATGTAAATTGAACCAGGAATCAAAGATTACAAAGGTCCCCTAATTAATCTATATGCATGTTTGACTAAAAGATTACAGATAGGGGTAAAGATTGGATCTTTGACTTAAAAGATTTGTTCTTTATGCACGGGACCATAATTGACTCTTTAATCACGCAACGCCTCGCAATCACTGATCTTAACTAAATTAGGACTAAAGGTTATACCTTCGATTGGACAGAGGGTGAAGGTGGTTGACGCATGAGAGGAGAGCTGCCGGGATGAAGTAGACCGCTGCAGGTTGCTGCCCGGGGATGAAGGCACTCCCGGGTTGGTGTTGGACGGGCGAAGCCGGAGGAGGGAGTGAAGGTTGAGGTTGCCGCGGGATTGCCTATGGACATGGCTAAATAATTCTCCTTTAAATTCGACGCACAAGATTTCGAGCCAGAGTTTACATCGAGTTTGATCCCCGATTCTTATGAAATGAACGATGGGACTATGAGCCGGGTACAATGTTAGAATCTCACTTGAGTAGTGGCATAGAAAACGACCTGTAGAGCCCTGAAGTAACCTAACAAGTAACGTGACAAAAGAGCCAGTTATGTCTCCATTTCGCCCCTTTGATTGCTCTCCTGTAAACCCAAGATGAAAGTGACAAAATTTAGCCAGTTGAAGCTTCTACATTATGATATATCCAACAAAGGGGGCTTCAATATTGCAAAACCCATGACATTACATCAGAATGTAAATGACAGAAACCGAAAGGGCCTTCTACTATCCCCAATTCCTAATGCCCTCTACATGTCATAGAAAAGGTTGTGCAAAAGACTTATTACGAGCCGCCGCAACCGAGAAAAGAAGCGCAGCCACTTCAATCCAGGTCGTATACCGCGATGAAGGGCATCAGAACGCTCCCCATCCAGAGCTTCCCATCCTTCTCCTCCGCTTCGCTGACCGCCTTCACGACCTTGCCCTGGCTGTCCTCTAGGATCTGCAATACCTTGCCCTCCGGGCTGTACTTAATGACCACCCCATGAAGTCGGCCCCCGATGTGAAGGATGAACTGTATTTTCGCTGAAATAGGTAGCTTGAGTATAAACTTCCTAAGTTTAGGGTAGTGTGCGCATAGATACGTGTAAAGGGTGCGGCGACAGTGGATTGCGACCCAGAATTCGCCATCTTTGTTGGTCCGGACATTGTCGGGGAATCCTGGTAGGACAGCAAACACTTCCGAAGTCCCTGCCTTCTCACCTTTCAACCAGTACTTCCGCAATCTACATAGATCATCCCACAATGAATCTCCACAAACATGTAATAAAAAAATAGATTCTTGACCATGTATGCGTATTGATTTTAAGGTATTAAAGATGATTCTCACGGCCATGAAAACCATTGCAATGGTTCAGAGATAGCACTGGGATTTTGGCAGAGAGGGATCACTTGAAATGTTACTTCACAGTCCATGCTTATTCATAAATTACTAGCTCATTCGCCAACAATCCAATTACAAGAGAAACATGTTAAACTAACACGTGCTGTATATACAAGTATTTCAGGGGGCTTCTAATGATTAAAATACTCAGAGTCAGAGCATAGTGTCGCCAACTCTCGGCTTGAAAAAAGTGGCTCTCTGTCTCGAGAACTCCAATGGTAATGCGGTAATGAAAGTGATACCTTAGAGGCCTCCCGAGTAGTTCGTAATCTTTCTACTGGCTTAGAACTAATTTTGGTTGACTAGTATGCATGACTAGCATGTCATTGATGCAGTAGAAGCAATAGAATTGGTAAAGACAGACTCCATTGGGACTGAATCAACATGAACAGTTATGAATCAACATGACCCACCTGCCAATGGCACCTTCACAAAAGACAAAGAATGATCTGTCCTTGCTTAAGGACACGCCATTTGGAAATTGGAGATTCCTCTCAAGAACTGTGGTCTCCTTTGTAACTGGGTTGTACTTTAAAAGCCTTCCGCTACTTTCGGCAGAAAAAACCAAGTGCAAGAAGTTCCTGTGGAAAATTTACGACATCCAAGTTAATAAAACTCATTTATCCCATGTAACAAGAATGAATAAGAAAACACAAAACATCAGACAAGAGTAGTAAAAAAATGACCTAAGCAAGATTACTATTCACAAATGGATCCTCTGAGCTTTATAAAGCATAATCAAATTAATTTGATGAAAAGCACAAACTCTTAATAAAAGGATCTAAGGACAAGTCGTTTCACTCAATAACGAAATAATAGATTAGTGAGATGGTTGAAAAGAACAAACTTAATTCTAGAATAATAACTTTGCAGTCAAGGAAATACAGCAAGGAGCGAGATAATGTGATGGTGACAAGAAGTCGAGAGCATCTCATTACCACATTGGTGAAAAATTCAACTCTTTGCATTTGTTTAAATGGAAGAAATCTACATGGACTCAGACTTAGGAATTTGACAGAGCATGGAATCACTTATTTTAAAGATTGCATGCTTATCCTTAAAATACCTTCTCTGGTATACACTACTGCTATCTGTAAAATATACATTTCCTTCGTCATCAATGTCCAGATCGTTGGTAAATCTCAATGGCATTCCTTCAGCTTCAGTTGTGAGAGATGTTGCCAATCCACCTTCCGGTCCCACCTTCATTAGCCCAAAATATGCATCTGCAATGAATAAATCACCTGTTTTCTTGTCGAAACGAAGACCAAGAGGCCTGCCGCAGATGTGCTCATTTTTTAAATAACTCAGAGGTGATGGTTTTGGATTACATAGTTCTGACCTGAATAAATAAGAACAGATGAATGTCAAAGACTTTCAAGGCAGGGAAAAGAAAACTTACAAGA